GAGCACGTCGTCAACAAACCGGAGGGCTTCTCAGCCAGCAAAGCCTCACTCGCGCCGGAAAATCCCGGCCCACGGTGGCAAGTGCTGTTTTGTGGAACCACCTTCTAGCGGAAGATGTGCGGACCATCTCGTGGTTCCCTAGCCCTAGGTGTAAACTGAATTGCCTGCCGTATTGCTGCGATGTTTGACTACTGTATCATGCTCTCCTGGCTAATGCCTAGCCGACTATACTGTAATTGCGGGCACATGTTATGCGATCGTGTCCACAACCTAAATTTACCAGGTTTTGAGCAGTCAGACGTCAACATCTGGTTTAGTTGGTGGACTCGATCGCATAACTTGTGCCCACAATTTCCATGTTAGAAACATTTCCTCGACTATACTGTGATACTACGAGACCTCAGGTCGGCAGAGCCATCAATGCCCCACCATCACTGCTGCGTCTCGGTGCAGCCCCTGCTCAATAGTTGTCACGTTCGTCCTAGTCTCAGTATCATTGTCCTTTATTATTTTCGAGCTGGGAGTGTGAACATAGTAAAAAAAAAAAAAAAAATCTACCAGTTATGTCTCGCCGCCCGTACTGTGATACCACCAGTGCTTTTACCGTCCTGACCGAATTAGACTTCATACTTACACAACGGTGATACACCTTGCCTACGTTTAGCCTTCTGCCGTTCATCTGCTCTTTTATCTCTCCCTACCGAGTACTGACACATTTGATTACCACAGATCAATATTATGTAATGTCACCCCCCCCCCCACCATTCGTTATCATAATAATTATTATTGGGCAATGATCCCGTTGGACTTTGCAAAGTAAAATAAAGCGTACAATACAAATAGATCCAATACTGTCATGTACAAGTATCATCACTCGTCTCCAGGCGCAGCACGCATCGATCCGGCAGAGCTGGTGTGCGGATGATTCCAGCGGAGCAGGTAGGCTGAGACAGATCCGGTGGTGGTGGGACGAGCTGCAGGCAATTGGACGGCGATACGGATTTCACCAACGAAAGGACACAGCTCCTTTTCAAGCCCGTGTGAGAGCTGGAGCCGGAAGCACGCCAAGTGTGGGCTGACACAGGGCGGATTGTGACGGGCAGCTTGCGTTATCTCAGCTCCGAGATTGGATCGGAAAAGACGGTCGCGGAAAGTGTGCAGCAACGGGTGGCGAAGTGGAAAGAGGAGCTGAAGAGGCTTACTGTCCTCATCAATTCCTCTATAGCTGAGGGGTGAGTACCCAGCTCTCTTAAGCTAGCAAATGTACTTCCCCTTTTCAAATCCGGTGACCCATCTGTCCCAAAGAACTATAGGCTGATCTCGCTGCTCCCAGTAGTGTCAAAGATCATGGAGAAGATCTTTCTCAAGCGGCTCTGCCAGTTTATCCACGCGGACCATCTACTTTCCGACAACCAGTTCGCCTTCCGTCCTCACCACTCGACGGAGGACGATAGCCTTCTCACGGCCACAGACCACTGCCAGCATTGTGGCTTTGTCTTAGTGGACATGAGTAAGGTTTTCGACAAGGTTAACCTCCAAGAGATGGTGATGGGATCTCCACGATATTGGTATCGGCTCAGTTGCCCTCGATTGGTTCGTGGGCTAAATGTACCTCAGTGGCAGACACCAGAGAGTAGCCTTAGCCGACGGGAAAATCTCTGATACGACTAGCTGTACGTGCGGCGTTCCACAGGGCAGTATCCTGGGGCCTGTACTTTTTTTTCCTTTACACGGTGACAAGGAGCGTAGTGCAGTGTGCGTCACCAGCGCTAGTTCTGTTGTTTGCAGACGATATCATGATCTAAATATACCAGCAGTGCTGATGTAGCTGCCATCAACCGTGTTCTCTCAATCGCAGTGTCCGGAGTTGCAAAATTTCTAGCGGGCATTTCCGCTGGAAGGCGGAACAGACTAGAGCTTGCAGTTACTTGTCGTGGCACTCCTCTGGCTCAAACCAGCACAGCAAAATACCTTGGCATATATCTGGACGAGCGCTTGAAATGGGCAGGTCAAGTGGCTGCTGTAGTTACCTAGTGTAAAGAAGGTGTCCTATAAACTCCGAGTCTTGCGCCACATCAAAGCAGACATCACCCGTGCGCAGTCCCTCCTTTGCTACACTGCTTTTATCCTACCTGACCTACTCTACGCCTCGAATGCCTACTTCGCCAGCCTTTCAGCAAGTCTCAAACAGATCCTCATCAGACTGGATAAGATCTATCTGGCTGTCGAGCGGGCGGATTGCAAGTTGCGGCTTCTCATGCACCGTATTCTTCACGTCAATGTCAGCTTGCTGCTCTAATTACGCCTGGAGTACAGTTCGCTGCCCCGTGCCACCAGAGGTCAGGATGCCTGCCATCTGCCCGTTCCCAACATCCGCAGTACTTCGGGATCTCACAGACCAGTATTTGCTGCTGCTAAGTTGTGGAATCTTTGCCCCCCCCCCTCTTTAAAGTCCTGCCCTCCCACATGCCCATTCAAGCGTCTATTGAAAGTATACTTTCATGGCTAATGCTAGGATGTTCCATATCCCGAGAGATCCCTAGGCTCACTGTTTTCTTTACTCCACCTATCCAGGTTATCGTATATTTTATCCGTTTGGGGATGATTGTCCGTTGGATTTGCAATACATTACACTATAATTTACATAAAACAAAACACAAAATACATGTACTAGTACTTCCGAATCTCACAGCCTAGTATTCCCCTCTAGTTGTCCTGCCCTAGCACATCTCAATTCTCACGTCCATTGAAAGTTTACTTTCATGACCAATGTTAAGATAATCAAAGGAGAGATTCCTAGACTCACTGTTTTCTTCACTCCCCTTAAAAATAATTTGTTTACGGTTTGCGTGAGACTCGGCTGGGACTCCCCTTAATCCAGGTTATCTTCTTGTTCTTAAATCTTTTCTCCCTTTCCATTGTCATCATATCATTGGGCATGATTGCCCGTTTGACTTGCCATGTAAAAAAAAACAATACAGTACAAACAAGTACAATAGTATTATACTGCGATTGCAGAAACGGAGCCACATGTTGCCTGTGCCGCATTATCTCACGGTTTACGTGGTAGGTGGACCTACGGTAGCTACCTATTGCGTGCAGTGCCTTTCCCTCCACCATGCCTTACCGACCTGGACAAGGTAATCACAGAGGAGCTTCTCCCTGCTCTAACGGGCCGTGATTCCTTTCTACCAGCAGAATTGAACCTTCTCCGCCTGCCCAGTCAGCTGGGGGGGGGGGGGGGGTCCTGCCGTGCTCTCAGCAAATGGGTACCGCGCAGCTCCCTGCATCGACAGCTGTAACGGCCCTTCAGGTGGAGGAGATTGTACAACAGAATCGGATGTTCAATACTCCCATAATTATAATAACTCCACGGAGGATGTTCGCCATGCAGCCTTAAGCTGGAAGACACGGCTGGCGCATGACCGTCGTCAGAGGGCGAAGAATGATTTCGCCTCGATCAAGAGCAGTGGGTCCCCTGCACTGGCGCGTCGGCTGGAAAGTCTATTCGCGAAAGGCGTGTCGAGTTGGCTCGGGGTGTTGCCTCTGCCAGAGCATAGTTACCACATGTCCAAGGGAGACATCCGTGATGCCGTGACGCTCTCCGCTATGGTTGGTCTCTCTCGGACACACCGGCGACTTGTGTACTGTATGTACTGTATGTTGGGAGCCGTTCAACGCCACGCATGCGATGATTTGCCGCCGCGGGGTTCCCGACAATTCGCCACAATGAAGTGAGAGATATAGTGGCGGACCTCCTGGCGGAGGTGTGTTCAGATGTGGCAGTTGAGCCTGTACTTGCTCCGATCACAGGCGAGGTGGTTTTAGCGGCCTCAACAAACACCGCGAACGACGCCCGCGCTAATGTCCGAGCTCGTGGATTTTGGACCCGGGCTCAGAATGCGTTCTTCGATGTCCGGGTCTTCCACCCGGATGCAGCGTCATACAAGCCCGTAAGTGATCTTCTCCAGCAGCACGAGTGCCGCAAGAAGAGTGAGTACGCAGAGCGTATCAACAACGTTCACAATTATCAATTCTATTCAATAGAAAAGAAGAAAAGGACCAAGGAACCACAAGTTACGCTATATACTATAATGTCCACTGACACCACCAGTTACTAAACAATCAGCTCATGCGATAACATTGCACGACACTGTCCGACGGCTCTGACGTTCTACAACTAACTGGCTAACAGCTCTAGCACATCTTGGATGCGCACTCCAACAGCCTTCCAACTTGGAAGGTTCTACGTTAGTTATAGAAATAACATAAGTCAGTTAGTTGTAGAACGTCAGTACCGTCGGACAGTGTCGTGCAATGTTATCGCATGAGCTGATTGTTTAGTAACTGGTGGTGTTAGTGGACAGTGTAGCGTAACTTGTAGTTCCTTGGTCCTTTTTACTTTTGTATAAATAATTAATTAAACCTTGGCTCTCCATCCAAGTCCTTTCTTGCACAATTATTTATTTTATTTATTGCCATGTTACGATGTACTTTCCAAAGACATGGTCTAAATCGAAGGGAGTTCCCTCAGAAACGACCCGAGGAAGCTTTGCCGAACACGGTGTGGATGGGCTGCTGAAAGCGTCATGTAGTGTGGATGGCGGATAGTCAGCGACAACACGTACATAATGTAACGCGGAGTTACTTTCACAGGCAAGCAGAAACCATCTTTACTCCCACATGTACATGACTACCAATACACCAGCGCATGCACTATGTTCTGGCCCGTGAAATCCGACCTCAAAAGGAATGAAAAAAGCGCGGGCACTGTAATAATACCGCTCACGAAACAACGCACGGACCTATTCTGTGCATTTGAACGCCGTTACAGCTACTGGACAGATGATGCGGATCAGAGCTCTTGGAGTCGTGCACGAGCCAGTTGGCAGCGTTCCGGCCGTGCATGGACAGAGTTGACGACATCGACATTTTACACTTACGGTACTGATGACGTCATACATTGTACTATAGGGTGTTGTTGACAATATGCCAGCATGCAGTGTATTCAAAATTGCAGCCAGCAAAAAAAACAATGTCATATTTTTAAAACAATGGCACAACCTGAACGACCACACGTACACGGAGAAACTTGAAAACGGGCCGGACCAACGGACCAGGAAGCCCCCCCCAAAAAACCAGGTCGAGAGGGGAGTAAAAAAATAAAATGAAAAATAGATTGGGAACATGGCATAGGAACAAGAAAGGCGGGGGGATTCTGGGGAGCAGAGGGCATCGTGGACAAGGGGCATACAGCCAAGGTGGAGTGCGATGCCGTAGGGAAACGGTAGCAAAGTGATGAGCGCCCGCGTGAAAGAAAAGTGACGAGAACGCGGCGAAAACAGTCAAATGCGGCGAATACAAAAATCGAGCAAAATGGAACCAGCACAGTAAGAGAAAGAAGAGGTATCAAACACACATTGGAAGCTAGTACACATGCTGATGGTGAAAAGGGCTTTTGTACGCAGACCCAGACTGAGCACGATAATAATAACAGTTACAGTATGTACAAAAGAGAACATTTCGACAGCAGCGCGCATACGCATGACGTCAAGAAGACTGATGCTATGACGCTGACATACCGCTATGTAAGGTACAGAATACAAGAGAATGTACATACAGTCATGTCCGTGCATCACGCTACACACACACACAGCCACACGGCTGCAACCAGCAAAACACATGACCAGCACTAACTACACAACGCGTTGCTGAGAGCGCTCCGGGCAGTCTCAGACTGCGCTCAAAGTCGTAAACCAAGTGCTGAAAGCCATGCCAGGCTCTCAAGAGACTTAAATAGTAGGGTCATGCATTACGTGCAGCTCAGCACGGGATCAACGCTGCACACAGCGCTACATAGATATTGCTAGGGCCGCCATGCATGTACAATACACACAAACTCTATACGTAGAAGAAGAAAAACGTATCACAGTTGGAGATCACATCACTCCTGCACTGTCTAGTCCAGTAATGTGTAGCAGTCACCCCACGCTTGCTACTTGCATCTGATGCAAGGCACGCCATCTATCCGTGCGTCCAGTGCAAGGAACACATGAAGCCACCGCCGCAGACAGCAGCAGTGTAGCAAAACCGCACACAATCTCCGTGTAGCTAGGCAGCATACGCTACCACAGCACGCTTGTATCACACAACATAGCAACTGCACCGACGCCTGGGAAAGCACACTAGCGCACCGTGATGTGTCAGCGATGACGTGACAGACTAATAAAGCCGGGTGCATGACGCAAGATACGTTGTGGCCGTACCAGTAACTGCCAGCTCTCAAAACCATGAATATTCACCAGGGCTATGTGGTGCTCATGGCTTTTTGTGCTTGTAGTCTGACGCTGCAGCCATACCAATTACTACCAGCTCTTAACACCATGAATATTCGTCGAGGCCACGTGCCGGTTTTCAGGGCTTCTTACGCTTGCAATCTGCTGCAGCAGAGGCGGCTGCTGCGGCCGCAGTGGATCGTGTTGCGTACGCCACGCGTGCCATGAGCTGACTGAGCTGCACCTGCAGGTTACAGAGGTGACGCGGCGACCAGGACTCCAACTCATCAGTGGTCAGTGTGCTGAACAGGTCGGTGGCCTGCTGCCACGCTTCACTGCTCCGCGGCAGGGAGTTGATGGAGGAGAACGACGCATCGCGGACATCCTCTCTGCCAGCGCCGTCATCGCCATCGTCGACGTCCTCGGGAGCCGAGTGCGACTCGGGAACGTCCTGATAAACGGATGAACCGGAGGACGTGGAACTAGACATTGGCGATGCTGGTCGGACGCTAAGCTGAGAACGCTGGGACTGTGATGTGTTCGGTGGAGCAGCCCCATTGCTAGATGTATGCCCTTGTCCGGCCGGCAGCTGTGAATCAGTACATACCTGTGACGTTGCAGCAGAACTGTCGGCAGTTTTAGAAGCAGGAGCGGCGCTGAGATAGTCCACAAGCTGCTGTGGCTGCCGGTGAACGGATACAGATGAGGACGCAGAACCAGTGACATCAAACTGACTGTCGAAACACTGCGTGCTGCTGCCATCACCGTCTCCGTCTGCATGCACCTCCATCGCATGCTCGCCATGAACGCCCGCAGCAACATCATCAGCTGAGCCACCAATGACGGCGGCGTCAGTGCCATTCTGCTCCTCTGAGCAACTCATCTCCATCTCAGCGGCGCTGCACTGGCTCGACATGGCAATCAGGCTATCGATCTCCTCCAGTGCCGTGGACGTGTCCAACTCGTCAGAAATATCGCAATCGAACAGATCCTGAGTTTCAGCGGTGGCCTCTGCAACCTTGCTTTCCACGGGCACGCTCTCCGGCTGGCTGTCTTTGCTAGGTTCGGATACAGCTTGGGGAGAAGGTGCTGCTGCAGGATGAGCTACAGGTGCGTTGGAGCATAGCATCATGGTGATATTGCTACTTGTCCTGTTGGCTGGTTCATTGAGACTAGAGGAATACGGCTGGGTGGGCTCTTCCGACAGTTCCTGGGACATTGTGCTGACGGAGGATGCCGGTACCGAGTTACCACTGTCCAAGGTGGTGGTAACGACCGGCTTACTGGCAGCGGGCTCAACATCAGCCGTCGGTGCACCTGGATCCTGCGTTTCGTCATCATCATCGTCGTCATCATTGTTCAAGTCACCAGTGATCGCAGGCTCTTGCTTTGTTGCCTCTACCCATTCCGACCCTGTTGTCGGGGTGTCGGTGGTGGGGTCTGAAGCGAGGGATTCCTGACCCGTGGACAGACCATCAGTATCCGCCTGTACATCTTGCTCGGTAGCTGGTTCATCGCTGTCCATCTGCTCACCACCCGGGGAACAATCGTCGATGAGCGTATCGTCATCCGCACTTGAAGGATCGCATGTATCGACCACATTCGCGGGAGTTTCCGCTGCAAGCAAAGGTTCGATAGCAGTTTCCTGCGGCTTTTCCGACTCCTCCCGATGGACAGTATCCATAGCAACGTCCTCGTTGGATTCCTCTTCGTCGGTGTGCGCTGCTGCATCCAGCGGCGCATCCATGGATACCAATGACATCATGACGTCATCGGCGGTCGCCGCGGTGTCGTGCGTGTCGCAGCAGTCTCCCACGAGTGCGTCCGGCGTGAAAGACGCGTCTAGGTCACTGCCCTCCGATGACAGCACAGAGCTGTTGTCAGCCGAGCTGGGGATGGACTCCAGGTCATCGCTAGGTAGTAGTAAGGGATCTTTCGGGGCTGCCATGCTACCATCCGTGTTGCCCCCCTCCTCCTGGCTATTCTCAACGGAGGCGATGTAACGGCGAGTGGCTGGAGAACAAACACGTGGAACACACAACAGAAAACACACAATTATTCGAGAGTAACAACGAGGCTGAAATCACGCATTATAAAGGCATTCTGTGAGGCATATTGTTAAAATTGAGGACTTTCATACTTTGCGATGAAACGAGTGTGAAGCGAATCCCACCAGGAGCAGCCAACGGATGAAGATATATACAGCAGGGCATAGATTAACGGCCGGACATCGGACATTTTCGGCCACTGACCGGACGTTTTCAATTTCACCGGACATAGTTACCGGTCAAAAAAGGAAAAAAAGAGCAGCGACCTTTCGACCTTTTATGCAGAGTTGGGCTTTCTTCGGAGCTTAGGCCAAATGCGACTTGCATATCGTACAACTAACACGTCTACACCGTAGCCTCGATCCCTCAGGCGTAGACTTCACCATAATCCGCCTGTAGCAACGCGGTTGCTACAGTCAATTCACACTTTGGATGGTGTCGACTTCGCACCTGAATCAATGGGTTGAACTGCACTGCAGTGCTGTTGTTCGCTCTTGAGAGGAAGATGTCATCTTTTATTTTTCACTCTTTCACTGACCAGGAATGCAGATAGTCTTTTAGAATGTCTTCTGGAAAGCGAAAGGGAGATTCAGAGGACTTGCCGCCGGGCAAAAAGTCCGTGGTGTGAAGGCCGCTACTTTTGATAAGTGGATCTCGGACAATGATGCAGAGCTGACTACTTCCGCCTGGCTGATTTATGACCGGCAGAAGAACGATCGGCTGTTAGCAGAATGTTTGAAGTGTTCCGTGTGCATCAAGTTTGTAGACAGAGTCCGCAGTTGTAAAAACTTCAGCGAGGCTTTCATAACCGGATCCAGGAACCTGAGAACATCAGCGTTCAAGGATCATGCTGGAACGGAGATGCATAAACGAGGAATGAATCTTTTCCGCAGGCAAGAGTGTCCCGCTCGAAGTGCCCTCGAATTCGGTCAAATTGCGAAGGCACTGTGCGAGATTGACGATGGTGCTGCCGCTATTGCACGACGCAAATTCGAACTGACTTACCTTCTCTGCAAGGAGCATATCGCGTTCGCAAAATTCTTGACTGCAACGCTTTCTTGTACATACATTTGTCGTCAGTAAATAGTTCAGTTTCTAATACAAATAAATTGGCGAATTGTACATAGTAATGTGTGAGATACGTCCACATAATGAGTCATTGTGAATATACTTCAGTGCTACCAAAAAAAAAGAAACACCCTGAAAATGTGTTGTGGAAAATATCCGGGCATGTCCGGACAGATTTCAAAACGGAAGGACATTTGTCCGAGCTAAATGAAATCCTTAAGCTATGCCCTGTACAGTAGTATAGGGGAGAGAGAGAGAGAGAGAGAGAGAGAGAGAGAGAGAGAGAGAGAGAGAGAGAGAGAGAGAGAGAGAGAGAGAGAGAGAGAGCGAGAGAGACACACACACACACAAACAACAGAGTCAGCATACTTCGCTTGACATGTTGCCGTCTTGGAGTGCATCCGGGCGAGAAGCGCGTGACGTGAAACAGCTCCAGTGCCTGTATGAGAACCTTGACTTTGGGCGCACGGATAGGCAGGCTAGCAATCCCCTCCGGGGTTAGGCAGGATAGATCACCAACGGTGCGAATGTTACGAGACTTCATCAGCTGAAGCAGTCCACGCGATCTGGACGCAAGCAAGTGCACAGACACGTGCACAAACACGCACACACATACGTGCGCACACGCACACACAACATACCGGTACACGCCGTTCAGCAATGCAACACAAACAAAGTGGATATGCATCCCACCCGTACATACAAACAGCATTCATGGTGGGTGCGTGAGCAACGACGTACAAGTCCATACATACTGGTACCAGCGCTGTATCCAGTGCATGCACCCAATTACTGTAATTATAAACATTCCCACGTTGAAGTAGCAGCAGTATGCTGCTTCCACAGCATGGACCCTACACATGATTGAAGCAAAAGCACACCCAATTCATACGCGGATACTGACATGATGAGAAGGTAACGCCATAACTACATGTATGCTGGTGGAATCGGTCCACTACAATGACAACTGACAAGAACAAGAATAAAAACAGCGGTGACAGGTACAGCAGCAGGAACAGCAGCAGCAGGAGCAACCGCAACAACCGCAGCAGCAACAACAGCAGCAGCAACAACAGCAGCAGCAACAACAGCAGCAGCAACAGCAGCAGCAGCAACAGCAGCAGCAACAACAGCAGCAGCAACAACAGCAGCAGCAACAACAGCAGCAGCAACAACAGCAGCAGCAACAACAGCAGCAGCAACAACAACAGCAGCAGCAACAGCAGCAGCAGCAACAGCAGCAACAACAGCAGCAGCAACAACAGCAGCAGCAACAACAGCAGCAGCAACAACAGCAGCAGCAACAACAGCAGGAGCAACCGCAACAACAGCAGCAGCAACAACAGCAACAACAACAGCACCAGCAGCAACAACAACAGCAACAACAGCACCAGCAGCAACACCAGCAACAACAAAAACAACAACAGCAGCAGCAGGAGGAGCAACATACCTGCCCCCAGAGGATAACGCTGGTAGGATTCTCTCCACTGGATCGACACTGGTAGCAAGCGGCGGGTAGACAGCAGCCTCCGGTACATTTAACCCACGCTGCAATGCAACAACACACGTACACACGTACACACACACACGGACAGACACACACACGGGAATACTGGTGATACAAAGATAAGGGTCACAGATCAAGACTCTGGAAGAGGGGAAGGGGGTGTCCCCAGGGTATTTTCATTGAACAAATCCAATCATTGCTACCAGTATCAGCCAAGCATCGCTGTATGCATGCAATCCACGCCGGCCGTGAAAATCTGAACTTGGCATGGTCATTCCAGATTGTTGCTCCAAGCAAACAAACGGCCAGAAAGACACAGAAACGCATCCACGCGTGTCACAGCATAGTTGCACAAACACAACGAGCAAAAGCCCAGGCTGTGAATACATGCATGTTGTCAAATAAACCTTCAACAGCAGTGGCAACAACGAAAGCCGCAACCAGATGCACCCACCCACGTACACACACACGCACACATACGTACACGTACACACACACACGCACACATACACACACACGTACACACACACACACACACACATACATACACACAGAGTACATACCTGCCGTAGCATGGATTGCTTCATGTCCAGACGTCTCGGCGGTCGTCCACCGAATCGCCTCACTAGAAGCGCCAATCACAAGGACGATAGACAGAACAGTCAGAACCCCCACCCCGTACAGCTGGTACAGACAAGTTGCCCACGGCAGCAACAAATGTCGGAACATAGCGCAGAACACCGCCATTGATACTACGATGTTACAGCACGTCAATCTTAGTCCTATCACAAAGAACTTTAAATCCCTGGAAAGCTGAGCTCAAAACCTTTCCAACGGGGATTGATTGTCGAGATTGACATAATTATGTTTGACGGAGTTACGATAGTTTGAACACTGGTCTATGCCCTGCGATAGACCACATTTCATGCAAGCATAGGGAACACAGCAAACTCGCATGCACTCGTACTGGCAACAAAAATATTATGTTATCAAAAGTGCTCAGTGCTCACACCATCAACACTAAACAGAACTAAGGAAACTCACGTCGACGAGGTGAATCTAACGGAGACGAGGTAACTTCGTCGGGTAAGTCAAACGTTACACGCCGTTGCTGAAGACACAAGCAAAGAAGACGAAGAAGACAAGCAGAATTATTGGCACCCTAAGCATGATGGATACAGGGTTGTACGCAACCCTGCCTTGGGTTCAACTCTCTGCAGGTCACTTTGCATTGTTTGCCAGTGCAGCTTACTAAACCATGGCACGTGTAGGGAAGTTTCGCAGTGGCAGCACTGCATAGACTAAGAGGTGTGTGCAGGTACAGTTGAACATCGATTATCCGACCACCTCTGGGCAGACAACTGTCAGGCGGTGTTCAGATAAGGCAAATGTTCCGGATAAGAAACATGTACATGCACATGTACGACCTTTTTACTTTTTACTTTCAAAATTTTCGTATTTTTTGAATGGCTCACTACATGCACAGTGCGTACTCTACGGCACGTGCGCCCAAACAAACTGTTACGGATAATCGAATGGTCGGATAGTCGATGTGCGGATAATCGATGTTCAACTGTAGTTGCAAACCCTGGGGCACTATGTACTCTTGACACCATGCAACTTATGTTTGTGTCTTGATGGGTGGCTGAGGTCCAGTCATGGCGATTACTTCAAAGGGAATGAGGGTGAACAGATAATTATGATGATTATGCCACCCAGAATTAATTCGTTGTTTCGGATCACCCGACCGCAAAACGTTTTTCTCTCTCTATTATCTCCGATTCGCAATCGGTCCTGAAACAGTATCAGCTCTGCCACCTCGTCGCTCATTGACAGAAGTTTTGGCGAGAGCTGCTCGTCAGACTCGTTTGCCACTAGCGAGACCAAGATCTGGTCCTGGAGTGGATCTGATGGGACAATGGCTGTGCTGGATCATGTACAGTCAGATTTGATCGACTGGCTTGATGGATAGAAGATTGGATTTTCGACACACACAATCTACATTGTCACATAATACACATGTTGACATGCAGTATATAAATAAAATAAAATAAATAAAATAACGGCGATCGACCGACCCTGGTGCGAATGAGTGAAGTGACCCGAAACAACGAAATAATTCTAGGTGGCTTTACGGGTACAAATTATCACAGACATACAATTCCATACTTGTAACCCGCCACCCCCCCTCCCCCCCCCCCCCCCCCAGACACACACCATGCATGCACGTACACCAATCCACAAATACGCACGCCCACCTACCCACCCACACTCACACACAGCATCAACCACAGGCAGTAGTATAAACGAGCAATGCCGGGCAGTACACTCACATGAGATGGCCGTGATGAAGTGGATGTTTTCAAGATGGACGACGGAGACAGCGCACTGCACGAGCTGAATGATGAAGACGCTGGCGAACATTGCGAGGACGGCGTCAGGTTCAGAACGGGGGTGAGCTGCTGTTGTTGTTGCTGCTGCTGCACGATGGGTAGGCAACCGTCGTTGTCCTGCTGCTCCACCAACACTGCTGCCACCACGGGACTGCAGTCACCCTCGCCTCCTATCTTGATTGTCAAGTCGGTTACGAGCGGTATGACGCTTTCCATCGTCTCCCCTGCCGTCCCGATAGGACATTCGGCGTCCATGGTGTCGTTTTCTATTGCGCACGGCAGCTCGTCTTGGTTGCTTTCGGGAACAGTGGCGGCTTGCTCGCAGTCCGTTCCTGCAGCATCCATGGGCGTTTCCTGCGCGCTCTCGGTCAGACTGTCAGGAATGAGCATTGCATCGCTTGTCTTCACAGGCGAAGGAGAGTCAGCAATGTCCGCAAAGAGATTGCCGCAGATAATGCTGGCCGAAGTGTCGACGGGTGTGTCCAAGGCGCTGTTGCCGTGAGCGACCGCACCCGCCATGTTCACGACGTCGTCATTAGCAATGACATCATCACTAGCAGCGGCAGCAGAGTTGTTGACACGCGTCGTCATCTGTTTCTGACGGAATGCAGGTGAAGCGCTGGCAGCCACTGATGCGTGAAACATGGCCACAGACTCGGCGTCCATGGAGCCGTTTGTAGCGTCGTCCATATCTTCGGATTGCGTTTCGGGGATGACGGTGATGGGCGTGACGGGAATGGAGTGCAGGCGTCGACGACTAACAAGACGGGTCGCGCGCGGTCGCACGGGTACCGACTTACCTGGTGTGCTTAGCGGCGGCACAGAGTCGCTATCGGATGCCGAGTTTGGCGCCGCGACAGCGGCAGAGGAGGAGCCGAGGCTGTTGTTGAGAGCCGTGAGCGAGGCAGGGCTGGGGTTCTTGCGCTGCCGGCCTCGCTTGCGCTTGCCGACGCTCTCCGGAGCGGAGCTGTCCATGGATGACTTGGCGGTGGCAGTCAGGATTGATGTGTCGGCGTTGGTGTCGACGGCCGAGTTGGGATGACCGCGAGTGCAAGACACGTTCGTATCCGGTGGTGGGCTGCTCAGCGTGTGCAGTTCAGTACTGGGAGGAGGTGGCATGGAGTCGGACTCCTGGTCCAGAAACAACATAGACGTGTCGGGAGTCGTCACGTGTAACAACATGGACACGTCGTGATTGTCGGTAGCATTGCTCTCAGCGACGGCAGCCGCTGGCATAGCGACAACATTGTCATGGTGATCCTGCGTCAGCTGGGCTACGTCATCCGAGCGGCGGCGTTTCTTTACACGTGCACTGCTGCGCGGAGATGCCGTGGCAGACGGTGGGGGCGAGGATGCAGACACCCGGCGACCGGAGCGCAGAAGACGTGCGGACGCGGTGCTCCGCTGGCAGTGCAGCGCTGACGAAGGCTTTGCCGGTGTGCTCGGTGCGGGCATAGCGCCACCGTCAGTGGACTGTGCTGCTGATGCCGCCGGGGGTGCTGCCTGCTCCGTCTCGGCAGCAGGCGTCCTGGAACACTTAGCCGGCGGCGGTAGCGACGACTCGTCAATTTCAATTAGCGACGAGAGGTCACGACGAGTCTTGTCCGCCTCCGGAGCACCACTGGAGAAGAGCGAGGAGTCGACCTTTCTCGGCGTGGACGTGAAGAGGGACGATAGGCCGAGGGATGAAGCAGCAGCGGTGGCCGCCGCTGGTGCGTCACTGGCACTCCTGCAGCTGTTACTGTCTTCTCCAGCCATTGACGGGTAGGACCTGTGCGGTATCGGTGACATCTGACCCATCATCAGAATAGGAGACATACCAACGGTGGCGGCGGAAGGAGAAGTGGGTGCAGTGGACTGGTCACGTAAGTCTAGTCTCTGGTCCTGAGTGGACTCGTCCACGAACACAAAGCGCTGCGTCTCCGGTGCCAGCGTGTTGGCATCCGTTGCGGGCACATCCGGTTCATCTTGACTCTCCGTAGGCTGCGTGGCAGGGATGTACCGGATCGTTGGTGTCTCCGGAGCGTGGACCGCAGTTTGTGGAGTCTGGATGACGCCAGTCAGAGAGTGGTAGGGAATCGTCGGGGTTTCATTGGCTGGTGTGGTGTTTCCCGTGCTAGAGTGCTTCTGGGGACTCGTCTCGCACGCACTCTTTGCTTTCTCATCAGCTGCAGTCGCCACCGCACCAGTACTTCCCGCTGTTGTCGATGCGCCAACGTAATCGCCGCCAGCTTCTGGCGCCTCGCACGTATCGTCTACGACCAGCAACATGGCGTCTGCTGCCTGCCGCTTGTCACGGGCATCGCTCAGCGGTGTACTGTGCACGGCCACACCAACACCATCGCCACCAAAGTTAGTGGCAAAGCCCACCGGCATCGATCCAGTGCTTGCGGCACCAACGCCTGCACAGGTGCTGAACGGCAGATCAAACTGGGTGTCCTGAGCGAAACACACGCGCGCGCAAACACACACACGCCAGAGACAACAAGCGGAAAGCAAGCACGGTTAAAGACCACGCAGTAGAAAGCCACATACAACTGTGGGCAAAGAAATCTACAAAACCTCAAAACTGGCACCAATGAGATGTTTGGCGTGAGCTGATCCACGCGTTGAGACTTCATAGGGCAGTGAATGCACTGCAGAGAATGAAGGTAAAAGCACCGCCTGAGCAATGGCTATCAATGATTGTGAGCTTGGCATTGAAGCAAGCAGGACTGAGACATCCGTTTATGCCTACAAATACATGCAGGGAGCGGGATGTGTGGGTACGTACCTCATCCATAAGAAACGGTAGCCGTGCTTGATCAGGAGTACCGACTTCGGAGAACAAACGCTTCTTAGGCGGTGACTCTGTGTATCATGGTGAGAAGTAGTGGATAAAGCATGAAGAGCGGGATTAGCATGGCCATGAGTGAGTGAGCGGGTGAGAGAGAGAGAGAGAGAGAGAGAGAGAGAGAGAGAGAGAGAGAGAGAGAGAGAGAGAGAGAGAGAGAGAGAGAGAGAGAGAGAGAGAGAGAGAGAGAGAGGTGAGAGAGAGAGAGAGAGGTGAGAGAGAGGTGAGAGAGAGAGAGAGAGAGGTGAGAGAGTGAGAGGTTCCAGCATCAAGACACAAACCAAAGGACCAACACATATCCAGTGGGTCAACGTTTGGAATTATTTCTGTTCCAAAGAAAGTGCCCGGGACGCCACACTGACCTGCACTGGACTTTCTCTTCTGTGCCGCAAACTTGCTTGTCGTGGATTCCTGCGATTGGTCAAGCAGACTGTACAGTGCTGGTATTTCACTGTGCGGCAAGATAGAGAGAGAGAACAAGCATGACAGGCCATTAAAGCATATGAACCAGACAGAGGTCCAGGGACAATACGCTCAGCCGGTTATCCAAAGATTTAAAAACAAAACAAAAAACATGGCTCGGGTCAGAGTCAGTTGGACAGCGCACCACCCCCAAGGATCAAGGCGCGGCTGCAACTCGCGAAGCGGTGAGAGGTGAGTAGATCAGACTCGCCACCAAGTGGTGATAAATTGGATGTCCCATTCGCTGCATCGTTGTCAGACGATAGCATTAGGAAATAGGGGTTCACTGGCAAAATATTAAACTGAATTGTTTTGGATTTGAGACCACACATGGTTGAAGACTACGCAACTCTACGGGACTTCATACTATGTAGAAAATTCAACAGCGGGAAGGGCATCAACAGCAGCAGCAGCAGCAGCATTAGAAACATTATCAACAGTAGCAGCAGCAGAACAGTAGCTAATGCAGCAACAGCAGCAGCATTGCAAACTGGGAGCTCACGTCTTTCGCTCTTTCATCTCCTGCTGATGGTCAGTAAGCACCGCTGTGGTCTTCTTCTTCTCCTTGGGCGGGTCGATGCGAACAAACGATGTCTACATTAGCAATGGGAGATCACACACATGCACGCGGTCACGCACACACGCGCGCGCGCACACACACACACACACACACACACGTGTAAGCACTGGGAGCCATACGAGTACCTGAATGTTTCGAACCATTCAAAATTGGAAAGTTTTGATTCTGAACTCTGTAAACTCAGTCAAAACTCCCAGCCATTTGCAGAAAGATCCAGAGTGCTGGATGTCCTCAATCGTCGCCAGAAGAAGATGGACGATGCTCAAGCTCTGAGCAACTCACTTACCCACAGAAGTATAAGTTGTGAGTGACCTACCTTTGCACTCGCCGAGTCAAAGGACAGTGGCAACCGTCGACGTACACTGCGCGTAGCTGGGGACTTGCCAGCGGACATCAGCTGAGCCGGCGACCTTGATGGAGAGGGAACAGTCGCAGCCTGAGAAAACGATAGAGTGCAAACACATAGTTCTTGTCTCTGGAAAACTTGATTTTCATGCACTCCGTTGATTCAAAATGCGTCGCTGTTGACTGTTGATAGACTTGATTGGAACTAAGCCAACCTAAATAACCCCTTCATAGCAAAGGCAATACGATTCGCCTTTAATTTTCATCATGAAAATCGTAGACATACGCAAAAGGATCGGCAAAGCTCGGCCGAACTACATATTAGAGCAAAAATTCATTTTTTGCTGCAATGTAAATACCCTCGTACTGTTGGAAAAGGTGTACAGTGACACCAAGATAGTACTACTAGCAATAGGTTGTTGACCTAGCAAAAGCGCAGCAGCAGAAAGAACAGCAAGACTTGCCTTCATGAACGGAGACTTGACAGGAGATGACACCCCGCTGCCACGTGACAGGAAGCTACCCCAGGTTTTCTTCGGCGAGGCGGGTACATCACGACGCAGGATGAGCATGTCTTGCGATGCAGACTCTTCCGTGTTTAGCTGCAACAGACAATACGACAGCAAGCGGGTTACGGTAGGCCAATCACCATGGTAAACAAACGCAAAACCTCACATCGATGTAGGGGAAATTTTACTGCATGTGAACGAAGTACATGTACATGGTGCTAAGGGGATGAAGACGATGACTATTGCCTCTTTGCCGCAAGTGTACGCAGAGCAACGAAGCTCCACATAATATTTCCAAGTACACGTTGTGAACTTAGAGAGAGAACACCCACTTCCAACTAGACGATATCAACAGTCCCTGTTACCATGAGTAGTGTTGCACGGTTCAAGGGCGGATAACTAAGTGTGAAGCAGCACACTTGCCAAGTCCCTAAGTGCGCTAGTGAACGAAAGGGGAAGACTCACCTCAGTGAATGCTTCGCTTACACCGAAACCCTGCGAGATAGGAATGCGCAACGGCACACGCACACACACACAGACACAACCGTGCGCACGAACACATACACACACACAGACGCAAAGATAGGATGCCATCAGGGAAAACGAAATAGACAAAAAACGTTCAATGCATAACATTCAGTTCGGCTCCTCCCCCCACACCCACGTGCACACCCACACGTGTACACACGTGCACACCCACACATACACAGCTGCAGTACTCACCTGCTCATCTAACCACCCTGGCAGAGTGATTGGAGACTTCTTCTTGACTTGCGCCAGTGTAGTTCTTCAACAACAACAGCAGCAACAACACACACATACACAAGCACGCCATCACTAACAACATCACTGCCATGCGCGCCAGACTAATGACATCACCGCAATCCTATAATCATGATCAGATCGGAGAAATCATCAAGCGACCACCGGAGTAATGTGTCGCTAGAAAAACAACAACAAAAGAGCAACGACTTGCACGGTCTGGTCTAATAGCTGAGATGGTTAGAGCATTGCTCATGACAAGCAAGGTACAGTCGTCCCTCTTTAATCCAGCACTTTATAAACTAGCACCCTCGATAAACCAGCACAACTTTCAGTAGCCAAAATGTCCTCTTGATGCACATTGCAGCAGTAAATCAGATTTGTTAATCTCAGCACCCTCCCTAATCCAGCAGAATTTCCCTGGCACAAATGCTGCCGGATTATAGAGGGACCACTGTACCGGGTTAGAGTACGGGTGGGGTTGGCGTTTTTTTCTGTTCTCTTTTCAGGCAGTTCACTTCCCTGACTGATCCTTTGAACTTGTACAGCCGTCCCCCTTTAATCCAGCACTTTATAAACCAGCACCCTCTACAAACCAGCGTAGTTTTCAGTAGCCAAAATGTCCTTTTCATGCACATTGCAGCAGTTAATCAGACTTTTTAATCCATCAGAATCTCTGTAGCACAAATGATGCCGGATTAGAAAGGGACCATTGTACAACGGCCAAACAAAACGACAAGACTGCCGCCCTACCTTAGCACAGCAGGGTATTCAAGAACGGTGGCCGTGGCAAACGTGGCGTTCCAGAACACCAGCGTACGCGTGCGCACTGCACGATTGGTGTGGTCGATTGCAGACGCCTGCAGGGTGGAGAATGAACAAACACACAATGGAAGACCATAGAGAGTATTTACCCTTCGAGGGCAGAGGATGAGAAAAAAATTGAGAGAAGAAAGAAGCCATGCATAATAGAAGACCATAGAATATTAATCCATTGAGGACCAAGGATGAGATAACTCATCTAAAAAATGTCCGCTGTATTGCCGATGAGGAATATCCTCGTCCAGTTGCATTACGCAGATAGTACAGGACTTGGTGTGATCCCATACTCTTGTAGATTGCGTGATTAACTTGAATGTCTGCTTATATTCCCGACACGCATGTGGGTCCAAGAAGAGCTTATTTTACAGAACCAATAAGCTAATTTCAGTACTACAAGCACATAGACCAAGCCTGCAGCATTTAACCCTTGCAACAGCTGGACAAGTACGTACCACAGCTGGTGACATTGCAGCAAGCAGCTCCGAGGTGAACGGCTGGTTGTAACGACTCTGAACACACGTCATCAGACTGGTCCACAGCTTTTCCAGCTGCATACACACACGTGGGGCACATGCACACACATATGCACACACACGGCACGCGCACACACACACACACACACACACACACACACACAAGCGAAAAATGAGGGTTCGATTGAAAGAGTTCAATGCTTACTACAATGACTGACAACTGTGCAATCCTAGCGTGAAGTACGCATGCAAGTTCGGTAGTATGGTTTCTCAACGTGAGTTGCCAAGCACAATGCATCATGTAACCTCTCCAATCGATCTGTGCTCATGGCATGTTAAAAGTTTATCATGCAACCCTAGCAAAAGGAGTAGCCAGGATTAATGGATAAATTCAAGGGAACAGCAAGCAAAACACACACTCAAATGCGACATGTTATCCGTAGTTTGTCTCCAACACTAACAGTTATACCGTATTTCCGCAAATAAAAGGCCGCCCTCGTATACAACGCCTTCCTCGTATACAGGGCCGGGGCAGGGGGCGATTGAAAAAATAAAAAGACCGTCTCCGATTAGAAGACCGGGCCTACTAAATGAGTCTCAAACTTGTGTTAAAAATAGAAGACCTTGCTCAAACTGTGTAGAAAAAAATGGAAGAATGGGGGTAAAACTGTGCGGCGAAAAATAGAAGACCGGGGTCAAACTGGGTTGAAAGAATAAAAGACCGTCCTCGATTATGAGGCTGGGTTAGGACGAGGTTGAAAAAATAGTAGACAGGCCTACTATTTGTGGAAATACGGTAAGCGAGATATTGTGTAGTCAGAAGGTGCAACAGCGGTAGTGTGGGACACAAACTACGGATAACATATAACATTTTGGTCCTTTCTTTTCAATTTTATCCTTGGCTCTCCATCCAAGCCTTACTTGAAACACACTCACCTTGGCAATAAAACCACTTGGGAAAGTTGTCTTCACACATCCCCTAGTGAACAAACAACAAACAAAGAGACAAAGCACGGGGGACAGAGACGTGTAGGCGAGGACTGTATGTCAGAGCTAAAATAGAAATAGAAAAAAAAGCGCAGAACCTCCTCTATATGTACAGACCTTACCGGGCTATGTGGAGAGTTCACCAGAGTCAGTCAGTGAATCCACCTCTCCACCCCATCCACACACACAAGAAATAGATAGATAGAGAGTGAAAGAGAGAGAGAGAGAGAGAGAGACCCACCCACCCACCCACACACTTACTGCTTGCTGTCCGTTGCCGACAGGAAGAGAGCGATGGATGGTGACAGGAGACTGAGCAATGTCGAGATCTGCTTGACAGTGGACAGCTGAGAGAACACTCTGGTCAGCGTGGACATCAGCTGAGCAGCTGACGCTGGAGCCGACGTCAACAACGATCCCGAAGATCTCAGAGAACCAAAGCCGGGGGCTGTCTTGCCACCACCAGTCTGCCCAATTAGATAGCCGTATACAGCGTCGGAAACGCGTTTCAGCAGATTGAAGAGCGGCAGGAGATTACTGACGGATGGTTGCTGGCCAGGACTCCTCTTAAACGGCGACGACGATACTAAAAACAATGGGGACAAAGTGGTATGTACAAGCAAAGAACATGGCTTAGAAAGTGAAGAATGCACTGTAACAACGTCACTAACAAATCACAAGCACACCCATCAGTGGCGTACCCGGGGGGGGGGGGGGGGGGGGGGGGTGGTGCTTTGGGTGCTCAAGCACCCCCCTCAAAGTTTTCGATATAGGCCAACTTAACCCTTTGAGGCCCATAGCACGGATATATCCGTACCAGTGTACAGTGCATACTTTTCAAAGCGCAACCTGGCGTAACTCGGCCGCCCCTTGACCAAATCGGACAATCGAAAGGGCTATCGACATTAGAATTGTCTCAGCTGTCGGCTCGAAAAAACCCGAAAGCGATCCGAGTTCGGAGAGCGGAGATACGAGACTCGAACTAAATTCGCTCAGCAGAGTCAACTCGAGCGCGTGCATTTTGAACTCGTTTTTAGGGGTTTTCCCTGACTCGCGGCCCACGCAGCTACAGATAGTTCACGTCATCGCAAAGGCATGTTTCTCAGCTCTCCAGTAAAAAAAATTTGAGCGATCTGCGATGCAATTTGTTGAAATGGCAGAGAATTTGAGTTGGGGGCTCGCAATGCTGGCTTTGGAGCGCCGTATCGCGCTGCGGCGCTGGTTCTGTGGATCGAGTGATGTATTGCTGGCTATCGCTGTGTTCCTCTGGCCAAGAGCTTTCCAGAAAGCCCAAGATCACCAAAATCGGCCAAAGGACACCAAAGTTACGACCAGATAAGTACCCGGGCTCGTGTATGCAGTGCATTTCTTGAAATAATTGTGGGCCCTAAAGGGTTAATGTATCCATGCCGCTAAAAGTACCATAACTTTGCAACCGATTGTCCGATTCACGCAAATGACGGCCCATTGGAAAGGTCTTGAGTGAGGCTTTCCATTGAGATTTGATTGAATTTGATACTTAGAATACTACTTTGTGCCCAAACTCTGAAAGAAGAAATGGGGATGTTCATAAAATTAGACTTTTGAATGCCATATCTCGTTAATTAGGGTGGTTCAGAGCCAGGTACTGCATGCAAGTTTGAAATACCAAGAACTTTGTATTACATACATATCACGGACCAGCAATACGGCCTCTGGCATCATCACTAGGACAAAAAATATAGAAAAGCGGAAATAAATCCAATAAAACCTCATCCAAAAGGATGCCCAGCAGACCAAAGTGCCTGTGACTGTGGTGTCCGGATAGCTGGCGTATCGGAGTGTTCACTAGGGTGTCAGCATTCCCGCCAGTATCAAACTACATTGCTTGTAAGACACAAGTGTTAGACAAGGCTGGAAAGTCAAACTCACTGTTCTTGACCACTTTCGGCGAGGCGGAGAAGTCTGCGCCCTCGACGACAGCGTCGATGAGCTGAGCCAGGGGTAATACACCCTGCAAACACACACACACATGCACACACAGGCATTAAGACAAATGCCAGATGCAAAGCAAGGCATCTAGGAAGGAGGCGGCCTCAAGTTGAAAACAAGAAGGGAAATAAAGGCTGGAGGGGCACTATGTCACTACACGACATCGGGACCCATAATAGTTATATGCCCATTTATAAGCGAAGGTGCACTTGTAACGTATACCCAGGCACATGCACTTTATGCACGTCATTACGATACCCGCTTCCTGTTGTTTGACCTTGCAGATAGGTTTCCTCAACTACAAAGTAAAAAGTCCATGGAGCTCCGAGTTACTAAATAAAAATAAAAAGTTTCACTGCAAGTCACAAGCAGCACACACCATGCAGGAAGACACACACACGTGAATGTGTGTGTGTGTGTGTGTGTGTGTGTGTGTGTGTGTGTGTGTGCTTGTGTGTGTGTGTGTGTGTGTGTGTGTGTGTGTGTGTGTGTGTGTGTGTGTGTGTGTGTGTGTGTGTGTGTGTGTGTGTGTGTGTGTGTGTGTGTGTGTGTCAGTGTAACTGTGCTTGAAGGGGACGGTTGCACTTTTTGTAGCTCCGTTTTATCTGAGTTTTCAGTCGTTCCTCTTACTAGTCTTAGGCCACGGGGTGGCTCTGGGTCCACCAGAGTCGCCACTGGCGTGTTTCTGAATTTGCTGGGGCGAGGGTTCCGCGACGCGGTCGCCAGGGCAGTGTCTTTTCTGTCACAACCGTTGTCGTCCTCGTCTCTCCATTCGCGGTGGTGTAGCTGACCCCCGAAATGGTTTCAAACTGCGAAGCTCGGAGTACAGTGGTGGCAGAGGCATGAGCTGTGAGTGGAGACGGTTGCTGGAGATGGATGGTGATGGAAGGAGAAGAGGTACGCTGCCTGACGACGCGTGGGAAATTGTTTGATCCTGCATTTTCAGTTCGAGCGCGGTGGACTTCTAGACGATGTGTCCTCATGGCTGTTTTTCAACGCTTGGCCTATCGCAGATAACTTATCCCTGCGTGGAATGTTCTTCCAGTGGAGTCCAGGTGGGACTTCGGGTGCCCACATTCCATCACCTGGTTGATTGTTTCGGAACTGCAATAATACAGGTTCAAATAATTATTGTTTCCTTTTTGTGCGTATCTCTTGTCATCTCTCTTTTCTATACGTCGCACACCAGATGTACTACTATCGCTGTCTTTCTCCTGCTATCTCTCTCTGCTTGCTGTTTTTGTTTTTGTTGCCACTGCCCCTCATCATACCCATGCTTGGGTGGAGGGCGGCGTGACCCGTTAGGGTAGCTGTCAATACAGTACAGTGTGTGTGCATGCGTGTATGTGTGCGTGTGTGTATGTGTGTGTGTGTATGTGTGTGTGTGTGTATATGTGTGTGTGTGTGTGTGTGTGTGTGTGTGTGTGTACGTGCGTGTGTACGTGCGTGTGTATGTGTGTGTGTGTGTTCCTGCAAGGGCTGTTGGGAGCAACAACACTTGCCAGGACTGCCATTAAAGACGCCATCACTATAAACATAGAAGTCGAAGCATGAAACTCTGAGTTGAGATAAACATATTTTTGTTCCAGTAAACATCCAAGTCCATGTAGCGAAACAGAGAATCAGAATACGTACGCTGGTAGAAAGCTTGTCAACAGCCATCTCATCACACAGGCCTTGCAGGCATTCATTAGGCTCTGTGCATGTGGAGAAAACATCAAAAACATAACACACAATAACAATCAGACACCAAGTGCAATGTAGACAAAGCTCGCTGTGTGTGCGAGTGCGTGTGTGGGCATAGGAGCGTGCGCGCGAGTGTGTGTGTGTGTACGTGTGCATGTGTGTGTGTGTGTGTGTGTGTGAAATTGTGGATTAGACAGTTATCTGGTGCTAGTCTTGGTCTGTTGCGTTCAGAATCAGATCCGCTATCGTTGCTACAGGAGAAAATCTGTGGGTGCACATCCAGTGCACTTCCAGATTTGCATGCTTCTCTTGCGACGGGCGTATACATGGTGGTACATGATGTGTGTATGTGTGTACATTCACAGCTGGATTACAACTTACCAATATCTTCATTGAGAGTAGCAGCACTGGTGAATGCCCGGTACACATCCACCCAAGTTTTCACCAGGTCACGCTGGGTGGACTGCATTGAACCAAACAAACAAACAATAGAAGAAGAACTGTCAGTTGCACAGCGACCACAGGACACCCACACGCACACACGCACCAATCGACACGCACACCCACCCATTCACACAACAATTTCATGACTTGTTGAGAAGCCCCCCCCCCCCCCCCAAACACAATAATGAGCACAAGAACGTAAGAAGGGAGTTACAATGTCATTGGACCTTACGTACCTGTGTGATAGAAAGCTGAAGGATATGATTAACTCCAAACAACAATGTCTGGTGAACAGCGGTGAAGTGTGGTGCCAGGCGGGAACCCTGGGCAACCTTTTGCTCCTACACAACAAGAGTGTTGGCAAAGAAGAAGGATCAGAACAGGTTGCACATAGACCAAGTGGAAAGATCAGATTTGACACACGCACACATACCCCCCCCCCCCCACACACACACAAAACGTGCCCTTCGGCATTCAAAATCCCAGGCTACTTGTGGTTTCAGGGAATGTTCCAACTTAATTTTCACAGAAAGTCCTCGATCAAAGTCTTGACTGACCAGGCATCTTGGAATACAATGTATTCCAATGCCTGGTCAGTATCGGCTACATCATCCGTAACATGTCATGCAGCCGATACTGCACAACGACCAGTGAGTAGTACTCACTGCCCTTGCTTCAAAGAACTGATCATGATAGATCATACAGGTAGAGGTATGCTGGAACAGAGGCCCTACCTGAACAAGGTAACGGTGGAGACGATTGGCGAGAACACTCCACAAACGCCAGGGAAGCTCGGTGATTGCACTTAAGTCACTGTACATGCATTGAAGCAAACACAATACAAAAACAGACATGCAAGTTCAGCAGTCTTCCATGGATAGAATGCGAGTAGCAAAAAGGTTGGTCCGAGCCGTACTACACACGGAAAAAGTGGGTGATTTTAGCAGGGTCAATAGTGACTTCCAAAACCGGCCAATATTGCAACAGAAAACTGAAGCGACTGGACTCTTCAAGTCAAAAGCAATTTCATGCACGCCAAACTGATAAATACAAAATTCTCAATTGGCAGGGCGAACGCTTAGCAAAAACACTACTCTAGCACAGTACCTCATCTATGATTGATTTTTTTAAGTGCCCCTGGGGTCATTAATGTACAATTTGGTATGACCCTCCTGTCAAACATTAGATTATTGCTGAACTTGCAAGACTCTAGAGCCAGGCCTGTGGGGACAAGTACGCGTACAAGTAACTCACCGGAATCGCTTGACAAGCAGGCTGATGATGGACTGCACGAATTGCAGCACATCCATGCACTGCATACCGACGCGGACCACCATCTCGTACAGTATGATGTAGCTGATGCACACAAACAGCACAGCACAGCACAACAAATAAAACTACAATTCCGGCGTACCATGGCTATCTTGTTTACAGGTGAAGTGCTGCTCAATGAAATCCGGTCGCGTGAGTCAAGATTGCGCCCCGCACCAGTTCACCATCCCAGTGTTCGCAGGTCTAGAACTGCACAGCGGCCGCTGTGGCATTGCTCCGCTTGATCGGATTTCATTTAGTATCACTGTACATGAAGATTCGCTGTGAAGCCAGTTCCCGACTAGTCCTGGCCCTGGTGGTGGTGGCAGTCAGTTTATTCTAATTTCTTCGATCCAGCCAATCCACCTCAGGGAGCAGGGTTGCCCGGATCCAACGGATCCTTTTTTTGCCAATCAACCTTTTTTGGTACGAAAACTCCACATTTGTTCGATTGGACCTGGGAGGATCCGAATGATCCAGGCAACCGACCGTGGTCCGGAACCGACCAATCGAACATACCCTATGTACAGGAGATTGTTCAGCAGCACACAGTCTGGAGCAGCAGTAGCACACAGCCTGGACCAGCAGTAGCAGTATACTCACCGCTCAGTGTTTAGATTGCCAGTGTAGAACGCTGGAGAAAACCAGGCATCGGCCAAGAACAGAATAACCGGCACCTGGCAGCAAGACATGAAGAACACACACGCACATGCACACACAGACACACACACGCACGCACAGACACACAGGCAGACACATGCATGCACACAGAATGCATTGATCATGTAGACGCTCCCATGTCCAGCGATTCGGTAGCAGTGCAAATGTTCCTAGAGGGTGGGCACATGGATAGATAGCTGGTGAAAGTCCCTGACACAGTGAAACCTGTCTAGGGCGACCGCTCAAGGGACCTTCGAAACATGGTCTCTGTGTACAGGTCTACTTATCCAGGGTCATTTGACTGGAGGTAGCATCCCTTACAGGGTCCGCACACAGACATACATTAGAAGTTCAAGTATATTTCGGGGCACAAAAAACCAAGATTTAAGGACTTTTCAAGGATATTTTCAAGCGACCAACCGTACAGCAAACAACCGCACAGCAACTATTAAAATACGAACAGCACGTAACGTTACGGCGGAAAATACACACTAAAGACCTACGGAGCGATTTTATTACAGGCACCGTACATGTGACTGAGCATCAAGAGCATTAAAAGAGAGTCACAGCGTGATGACCATAATTAAAAGATATTATAAGAAGACCATGAAGATAAAAATAAAATTAGACTAACAAAAGAAAGAAAAATGAAAAGGCAATTGGTGGGAGAGCCACAGTAAAGAGAGAAAACCCAAAAAAAACACTAAAAGACAATGCTAGCTCAGTTCTTTTGAGCATTAACAAGGCTGTCCAATTCAGACACAACAGAAGCCAGCTCAGCAGCCTTCGTTTTCATCGTACGACGCATGCTGTTGGACTTGGACACCCAAGTAAGGTCGCCGGTCTGCTCCGCTTTCTCTGAGAACTCATCTGCAGATAAAGAGAGCGATGAGATGGTGTCCTCCAGTTGCTTCTTTTTCTTTCTGCACGCGCCAACCTCCTCCTCCGCAGCCTTCCGCTTCCTGGACTGAGCAGTGTCCTGTTCCTCTCTGCGCTGGTTGTCCAGGTGCCGCTGGTATACCTGGCGTGCAGAGCTGGCAGCCAGGAGGATAGCAGGTGATGAGACATCAACATGCTCAATGCCACCAACTGCAGCAACGTGGTCGCAAATTGAGCGCCGTGCAACAAACCCAGCTTCTGACAGATTGTCAGCCTCCACCTGGCGGTTCACGCTGAAACCTCTCTCGACAGTAGCCTGCCCATGTGAGAGTAGCAGGAGGTCACGGACAAGTTTCCATAGCTTCGCATACCTGGGGTTGCTGGCCATGTCGGTCCAAAGCAGGTGGTCAATGCGTGCATCTGCTGAGGTCGGATCGAATGCAGCATATGCAGACCTCTTCAGAGGGATGACCGAGGAGAGGAAGTCGCTGTACTCTTTCAGGATGTCTTCACAACCGAATTCTCCGCCTTCGACTCTTCCTGCTTCATTAAAAGCAGCACAAACACGCTTCATCAGCTTCATGCACTCTTCCTTCCCCGAAGACACAGCCATCTTGCGTGGGTCAAGGCAGGAGGCAGAACGAACCAGTGGAAAGGAGAGTGGCGACTTTTCCTTTAACTTCACTACCAGTGCAACAACAAAGTCCCTGCACTGGGCTCTCAGGTCGCGGCACTGGAGCTGGCTGATCTTCTTGCCACTGACGAGGTGCCGTGCATGCTCCTCTGCAGCAAATCCCATGTTCACCTTGGTCACTGGCAGAAGAACTGACTCATCAGTGACATCGATGGCCATCAGGCGAACCGTGGACGAGCTGGCACTGAGGGTATCCTGCTTCACAATGCGGCTCAGGAGGCTACGTAGCATGGACTCCAGGGCACTATGCAGGAATGGCACCATCGGGCAGTCAGTCTGGAACTTGACAAGGAACGGCTGCACCTCCCTAGCAATCGAAGCAAAGCACTTCACCTTGACAAGAACAGCCGGATCCTTGGACCATCTTCGAATTACGTCGTATGAGTCACAACCCGGGGCCTTCAGGGTTTTGTCCTCGACACGAGCAACGAAAACCAGGATGCTGCTCCACACGCTCACCGCCCTCTCTGCGACAGGCAGATTTTCCACCCATCGGTGCTGGCAAAATTTCAGGGGAAAGACACTGGACTCTGTGACTCTTGTGAAGTCCTCCCGTCTTGCAGGGCTGTCCCGGAAGCAATAGTAGAGAGCCTTCAACAGCGCTACCACACCCCACCCAGACTTTCTTGCACCATCCTGGAAAGCTCTGTGCACAACGTGTAGGCCACAGCTGCCGATGTCAACGATGGATTTATTGTTTGTGCGCTGGAGCTCTTCCTTCAGCAACCGGTGAAATTTCCAATTTACCGCTGGTCCATCCATGGACACCTGGACCAGTTTGCTGAGGCCGAGTTGATCGGTTGCGGCATGGAAATGGTCCAGCAGATCGTCGGCTGTTGAGTGTCCCAGATACACTGATGTAAGGTAGCGAGTTGCTACAGAGGCGCAATCCACACCGGAACTCCAAAGACGTACGTGAACGTCCATCTGTTTTGTTTTCGTCTTGAAGTTGTGGCTCTCGTCGAATAGCACCACGAATGACTCCGCCTTGTTCACTTTCTTCTGCAGCAGGTCTTGGAAGTACGTACCTAGGCCATAAGTACAGAGATAGCCGCATTTGCGTTCACCACAAGAGAATTTGGCTGCAATTTCACTGTCTGGGAACATCCTGCTCACCAGAGGGCCAACGTTGCTACTTGAACTATAGGAATAGTGCGAAGTGCACACTTTGAGTGCCCACAATACTTCTGCTTGCAAGCAGTCCATGCGAGTGATACGCGATGATAGTGTTGGGGTAGCTGTTGGGGTAGCGTTGTGGGAACTCACCAGTGGCAGATCACTGCGTGGTGGCGCTGGGCTAGTACTAGTACTAGTACTGCTGCTGGCACTGGCGCTGCTGCTGGCACTGGCGCTGCTGCTGGCACTGGCGCTGCTGCTGGCACTGGCGCTGCTGCTAACTGTCGACGACGGAACGAAAAAACGATTCACTGTCAAAGCTGGAGTACTCCGCTCCACAGCTTCACAATGCTTTTTCCCCTTCGCGTGACTCTTGACTGAGGAGATACCGCTGCCCGAAATATCAAAATCTGACCTGCAGAGTGAGCATCGTGCTCTGAATTCATCGCTGGGAATAGCTACTAGCCACTTGCGAAACTCCGGTGTTGACAGCCAAGCGTCACGAAAATGACATTTTCCCTTCGGAGGCATCTCCGCCACAACTGCTCCGACGCACGGCGAGTTACGAGAAAATCCACACCATGTACCAGCGAACTACTCAATCTGCGGTGAACTACAAAAAGAAGAGCCAGTAGAGGCTAGGCTAAAACTACTTACCACTTGAAGAGCGCGAGCAACTAAAGTAGTTACTCGAAAAATTCAAAAATGTGTAGTTTCGACTCGTCGACACAGGACCACTGCCGTACTTCCCGCTAGTACTGTATGTAGCATGTATGCAGCTAGTACTACGCTCGTACAGTGCAGGCGCGAACGGCAAGATCAAGCCGAGCAGGCCGCGCAGTCTTCGTTTCGCGTGCGCTTGTGAATTTGAAGTACGACTCGTACACAACAGTTGATCACAGACTGTGAGTGGCATGCTTGGCACAGACTGTACATCACAGGGTACACTGACGCCGCCAAAAAACTGAATTTCAAGGATATTTCAGGACAAACCATGTATTTTAACAAGATTTACGGGTTTTTCAGTATATTCTTTACTGGGAATTTTTTTAGGTATATTTTAGGGTTTTCAAGGGCTGTGCGGACCCTGCCTTAGTCCTGGTTGTAGTGGTCCCCTGGGACAGGTGGTCGCCTTCACAGGTCTTACTGTACAGTGCAACCTGTCTAAGGCGACCGCTCAAGGGACCTTCGAAACATGGTCTCTGTGTACAGGTCTACTTATCCAGGGTCATTTGACTGGAGGTAGCATCCCTTAGTCCTGGTTGTAGTGGTCCCCTGGGACAGGTGGTCGCCTTCACATGTTTTACTGTAAAGTGCAACCTGTCTAAGGCGACCGCTCAAGGGACCTTACAAATATGGTCGCTGTGTGCAGGTGGTCTTCTTATCCAGGGTCATGGTCACTGGAAATAAGATCCCTTTGGTTCTAGTTGTAGTGGTTCTCTTGGACAGGTGGTCTCCTTATCAGGGTGGTCTCCTTATCAGGGTGGTCTCCTTGACAGGTCTTACTGTACGTTGTCGTTGTACTCACCATGGTTGTAGAGGACTGCTCATCGCAGTGCTGCAATGCTTCCACGCACTTTCCAGTCAGCAGGGTGGATTCCGGCAGCGACAGCATTGTCTGCAGTAATAGCTACAGTGTCAGGAGATGCGGAACACACACACACACACACACACACACACACACACACACACACACACACACACACCTTTGACCTTTGACCTTTGACGCCCATCGCCGGAGGCGATGATAGCAATGCTACGGCAGAAGCCATAGCAACTTGTGCTGGGATTACACCATTCAACAGCTTGCAAGGCTGAAGAATTGACCGTCACTATTCAGCCTGGTCTACACCATACAGCTATTTGGAGTGACATTTTCTGGCCAGTGAATCCCTTTTTTTGGTCTTTTTCATTTTTTTCTTTTTTTTCTTCTTTTTTTCCCGCACACACATCACACCACATACTCCGGCATGCACTGGCTGTTGGTAACCACCCAGGAGAATGAAAGAAAAGTCAGGAAGAGTCTGAGAAAGAGAAGAAAGACGTGTGTGACCATAATCGTCGGGAATCGAACCCGCAATCTATCGATTGGAAATCGCTGCACATACCACTGCACCATATGGGACACACACACACACACACACACACATGCACATACACACACACACACACATGCACATACACACGCACATACACGCACACACGCGTGCACGCACGCACGCACACACACACACACACACACACACATGCACATATAAGGTCTTATTCATAATGTGTAGAATAGATACTTCCATTAGGTTACTGTTCTAATCTGGAGGAGGGAGTGATTAGGAATTATTTTGTGGATTCAATCACTTGCAGGAATCAAGCTAAGCAAGGTCATGCGAAGCGAACTCCTAGAAGTCAAGGTTTTTGAACATGAGCCAGCCGCTGCCTAGGCAGCAGCTGTATCGATTCCCAGCAAGCTGGATGGCCTCTTCAGACGGTTCTATGCCCTCAGACGACGGGACACCGAGGACAAGAAGGCATACATGTAAGTTTTTACTAACAGCATGGGCCGTGTATTTGCTAAAGTCAGCAAAGATGTGGGAATCGACATTCCTCCTAACGCGACGATGGGATGGGGTGATGCCATCCAGTACGGCGGCATAACATCTCAGTGCCAAGGAGGCCTCAGAGATGGCCACTGAACAGATATCCCACTGAGAATCAACAGCCAGGGTCAGTCTTTTCGAATGCCTATACATTGTTTTCAACAGGTGATGTTACTCTCCTCTGTAGAGCATTCAGATATCCTTGGGATTAGCTAGCCATATCCTAAAAGGCTTATTCCACATGGATGAATGTTGTTGTTTTAGGAAATACTACAGTGGTGTGGGAGCCAAGAAGGTCAGGGAACGAGCGTTCAACAACCTCAGGAGGGCCAGGTCAAGCCAAGACTCCGAGGAAGATTGACGAGGACGGCTTCAGTTTAGCCGGTATATTCCATCGAAATGCGCTCGCTTTGGCATCAAGGTGTTTGCGTTGTGTGAGAGCGGTGGGTACACGGGCAGTTCCATAGTCTATGCTGACAAAGCCACAGTGATGGCCTGGTCAGGAAGGTGGTGCAAGCGATGCTGTAGCGTCACAGCTCATTCAGCCGTACTCCATCTGATAATAACATCCGTATGTCAATGAGTACGTGTGCAGTTCCATAGTCTATGCTGACAAAGCCACAGTGATGGCCTGGTCAGGAAGGTGGTGCAAGCGATGCTGTAGCTTCACAGCTCATTCAGCCGTACTCCATCTGATAATAATATCCGTATGTCAATGAGTACGTGTGCAATTCCATAGTCTATGCTGACAAAGCCACAGTGATGGCCTGGTCAGGAAGGTGGTGCAAGCGATGCTGTAGCTTCACAGCTCATTCAGCCGTACTCCATCTGATAGTAACATCCGTATGTCAATGAGTAAGAGGGTTGTGTTGTTGCGGGGAACGGGGGAGCAGGCCGCTTCAAATGGATGCCAAGTGTTCACGTATAACTGGGTCCACCAGTGTTGAGCTGGGCCAGTGCCTGAGCACCATTGGCACAGTAACATGCGGTCAAGGTACACAATAACCGCAGTGGACTACCCGAGAGGAGCAGTTCTTGCCGTAGTCTGTGAAAGGGAGAATTCCCTTTTTCCCGTTCAGCACCAGGACTTACTTGTACCGGGGTAAAGAGGAGGGAGTGCCAAGACCGTGTACTTTCCCTCCAGCATTCACTCCCCGGCCATTGTCGACACTGGCAAGCGTGATCGTCAGCAAACACGCCATAATCAAGCTGCAGCTCGTCCAAGACTGCACTGTCCACACGAGCGGTGTTGACCGAAATGATGAGATAGGGAGTGCAGCAACGCACCTTCCCTTGGAAAGAAATCTGCTGAGCTCTCCGACTTTCTCGCGACCAGCTGTCCTCTTATTGTTTGCATCACTGAAACCTGGCTATGTCCACAAATTTCCCTCTCCTTCCCAGGCTACGAATTCTTTCGAAGGGATCGACACACCTCAGAGAACAAAGTTAACACCAATGACTTTCTGGCCTATGGTGGTATTGCTATCAGCCCATCCGAATAGCGGCTGCCTACCGTCCACCGTCTACCAACCCGTTAGTGATAGAAAACTTCTTCACTTCATTTCAAAGTTGCTTGATTCAAATACAGACTCCTGGCTCTCCGGTCCTCATCATGGGAGATTTCAATGCTAAGTGTTCCACCTGGTATGGAACAACAACAGACACTGCAGGCCACTCTTTCATGTCTTCATGACATCATGCCGGTGGGTTAAGAAAGTGACGTGTTGCTGTGAGGAAAACATGTCACATTTTTCCTTGCGGCAACACGTCACTTTCTCAACCCACCGCTCCCACAAAGGCAATGAAGCTGCCCTTTTTTTCTTCTTTTTTTCTTCTTCTTTGTTTTACTTCGCAGAATCCACACGGGAATTTCCCCCCTGGATCTGATGATCACTGACACAACAGCCAGCATCCCGACCCTCAGGGCTAATCGTGGAGTTCAGTTTCTGCCAAACATAATTATATTAGTACAGAGCCTGTATGCACACCTCTGCAGCGGTCAAACGGCTAACTACAGTGCACAATTGTAGAGCTGAGATGCAAACCCCGATAAGGCGAGACCAAAATAAAATCGAGATTCCCGGGCAGGACCCATGTGAAATTGGTGCGGGCGGGCGAATTCTATTTTTTTCCCATGTATGTACATGACTCTACATGTATGTGTGCATACCATGTTGAACTTTTTTACCGCATTTTCCGGTAATTTTTGTTCAATTTTTTTACAGACAACAGGTACGCGGTTTTCCCCGTTCAGTTTTTCTATATTTCGGCCAACGATGTCCCTGATCTGTTCATCAGGGAGTTGTACAAGCTCGGGTTTGTGTGACTCCACGCCACAGATCTACTCACACGATCAGTACTGTACATGTATGAACTGTTAAAAAAATAAAAAATAAATGGCTTTGGCTCGAATTAGGTGCGGGAGGGCCCGGGAATCACTATTTTTTTTGGTCTCGCCTAACCGCCAAATTTGAGAAAATCAGATTTTCACCTCAGTGTAATGAAGAGGTACGGGGGCACCAGCAGACAAAATTTCACATCCAAAATCTGACTAGAACCGCTTCAAAACTGGAACCCAAATACGGATTTAGATACAAACAGCACATGAAATGAATCCTTTTTTGGCCATTATCCGAAAAGTGATGAAATGGATTTAGCGGGTTTTGCATCTCAGCTCTTCAATTCCCCATACGGGTTCTGGACAGTGGATTTCGCCGTTTACAGCGGGGAGTTTTTTGGTCGACTCCTGGATCTACGATTCTACATAGCTGCACTGCATCAAAAAGATCTGGGTATCAGGTTACCGTACCTCGACTTTAAAACAACGAATTACGCTTTCCCAGCCACCTACCGAATTGCACGCTCTTTCTTTTCTTTTAGTTGAGGACTCTTAGTGGAGGCGATGGATGAACTTGAAATACCATATTATTATTTTACCAGTTACAAGTCGCCAACACGTACTCGGGGCCTCGATGTCCCAGATGAATGGCGGCAAGAGTAGATAAACAAGAGCGTGCAACTCCCGGATATCCCGGATGGGTTGGCCCAAGGCGGAATTGTTTGTTGACGTCATCTTTTCTACGACGCACACGCTGCGAGTTTTTTGGGAAGTTTTGCCTCGTACACTTCGCCGGGCTTTACATTACAGGGCCGGTGCCCAGCATGTGCTCTCACACTGCTCTGTGGCAAAATGCACAGTTTTCTGAGAAAGGTGACGTCAACAAAAAAATCCGCCGTGGTCCACGGGGTATATGCAGATTGTGCACAAGAGCTGAGGAGCTGCACACTCTTGTTTATCTACTATTGATGGTAACAAAACCCTGATTGTAAGTTGATTACCCCTTTACCCCAACTTTCAGTTGAGTTTTAGAGTTTTAATAAAAGATCGACTTCTAACCAGTAAAATAAGGTACAGGAATGGGGTTATGGCGTGAATTCGACGCCATTGTACAACTGCATAACGCAGCACTACTTACGCGAAGAGGCAGAGACGGCGGCTTCTCTAGTTTCACCATGGAACGCAGGCCACTGGCGAGGGTCTCCAACACCTTTACCAGTGTCTTGGTCCTAGCCTGGACTGTATCACGACTGAGGTCGTCATTCGCCGGCAAGAGCGACTTTAGGTGATTACCGTACGATAGCATTACACACTGCAGCCATGAGGCAGGTACTGGAGAGAGAGAGAGAGAGAGAGAGAGAGAGAGAGAGAGAGAGAGAGAGAGAGAGAGAGAGAGAGAGGGAGGGAGGGAGAGAGAGAGAAAGAGAGAGAGAGAGAGAGAGAGAGAGAGAGAGAGAGAGAGAGAGAGAGAGAGAGAGAGAGAGAGAGAGAGGGAGAGAGAGGGAGGGAGAGAGAGAGAGAGAGAGAGAGAGAGACGCCGAAACCAACAAAAAGAAACCTTATACCAGTAGGATGGCTGGTTAAAGACTCCAATGCAGGACCATACTAGTGTACATAATTATATAGCACCGCCTTTGCTCTGCAATTACTCACAACACTAGACACACCAACCAACCACCCTAGTCCCTAGAAGACCGTGGAACACATTAGCAAATGGAGAGACGGACATACACACTAAGCATTGTATCTTACCAATTTCCTGCGTAGGCGGGCCATTCTTCCCAGTAGTCGGTGACGTACAATGGTGATCCCCGGTGCAGCGAGCTAGAGAGCAGATACTGTTAGCAAGCGCCGGCAGAGCAGACGCCAGTGCTTCTGTTGACAACGCCGCATTAGCTAGGGTGTCTGGAGAGAAAAAGGTTGACACAACACCAAGGAGGATTGGACACTTAGTTACAGTCCCAATCCTGAAAAGGGTGTGCTTTGCATAGCACAGAATATTCACACAGAGGAAGTAACATTATCTGTGAGAAAGAGCAAGACAAAGAGAGAGGGAGAGAGATAGATAGATAGATAGATAGATAGATAGATAGAGAGAGAGGAAGAGAGGGACGGGTACTCTAACATACCTATCTGCTTGGGAGTGCTGTGTGGCGGCATCTTTGTGTTCAAGAAGGACGCGACCATCTGACATCCCAGCATGGGGCAGCGAGCAATGTGTAGTGACGAGTCTGATGATGTAGCCAACCCAGAGCTGTCACTGTCTGGTACTACTTGAGGGGTGAGACAGAACCCAAGCATTGGAATGCAAACCTAGAGAAACAGAAGGCAAGAATCAACATCACACAACAGCCATGACAAGGTATGGAGTGACCGACGTGAAATCTGCCCAAGGTAATCGCTCATAGGATACCCGACGCGTGGTTCTCTCTCTCTCTCTCTCTCTCTCTCTCTCTCTCTCTCTCTCTCTCTCTCTCCTCCCTCCCTCCCTCCCTCCCTCCCTCCCTCCCACCCACCCACCCACCCGCACACAAAACACACACACACAGGTGCTCCCTGACACAACAACTTCCATTTAGCTTTACACAAAAGCCTGCAGCCCTCAGTACCAATCGCATGGGCATTGAACACGCACACACATGCAGTACAAGAGAGGCAGCAAGGAGATGCCGGTACTCATTTTCACAACGAGCAACACTCAGCCCACCTCGACAAAGTTGGCGGCCACTTTATCACCGAGTGCTGCCACTAGCCTCCACCAGCACCTTGCACGGGCTTCATCGACACCAGGACTAGGTACAGGGGAGAGGTTAGCCTGAAAAAGACAAAAAACAAAGAGAGAGAGAGAGAGAGAGAGAGAGAGAGAGAGAGAGAGAGAGAGAGAGAGAGAGAGAGAGAGAGAGAGAGAGAGAGAGAGAGAGAGAGAGAGAGAGAGAGAGACAGTCAGTGATTAGCTCTCGCTGGCTCATGCGCAAGGGCACCATGCAAGGAATATGCAGGGGTGGCAAATACTGGCAGAGCAGACCAGCACAACGGAGAAGCAGACGCGGGGCTTCGCACAGTTGTGGCACAATCGATCTCTTCCTTCAACCAGTGAAAAAGCACGCTCCTCAAACGACACGGGTGACAGGTGACAACAGAGCATTGTCTCAATATCAAGCGCACATCAACAAAGAGGACAGGACTACTGGGGAGTGAGGAGCAAAGTAAACTACAGCTAGGTGTCTTGTGCTTGGAAGAGATCTGTACCCAATCACTATCATCACTTCCTCCAAAACAAAGCAAAGAGATACAGTATTGCCGGGAGGTGAGGCATGTAACTAGTCTATTGCGACGCCGATTGCGGCTCGTTGAGAGCTAGCGACTGCACTCACACAAACGCTGACTTATCCCCCCCCCCTGCAACACACCAACACAGCATACCTGCAGAGGTTTGAGTATCAGCGAGAGACGCTTGGGCACAGCGAGTACAGCCGGGTCCGTCTCAAAGTTAGCTATCAGACTTTGCCAAGCCTTGAACGTTGCAATCTGTATGTCCGGGGAGGATTGCTTGCGGAATGCCAGCTGTGCTACTTTCAGTGTTTCATTGATGAATGGTCCCTGGTGAAGAGCCTGCAAACCAAGGCACACAACAGGCAAGCAAAGCAAAGAATGCGCTAAGTCAACATTCCACAGCAACGGATGCGACCGCAGTCCATAATGTCACACGGGATGAGCTACTGTGTTTCCCCGGATAAAAGTCGCACATTTTACACTTCACTTCAGGGCCAAAAAAGGAAGTGTGACTTAAAATCTAGCATGACTTACCGTAAAAGTCCGTAAATAAGTACGTATTTACTTTCGAATTTACTGACCACACCCGTACTAACTTTCGGGCGGGTACTGACTTTCGGGCACGAACTAACTTTCGGACCTGACTTGTGTGTAGTGGAGAAGTCACTTTTCATGTAGATGTACATGCTACGTGCTGCATGTGCGCACCGTACCGGTACTTATTCCGGGCAGTGTGTTTATCGGGCTTGACTTGACTTCAACAGACCGAGCCAAAAGAATGAAGGGGGTATTTCTTTCGGGCAGGTACTTATTTACGGACCTTTACGGTACTGAAGTGGATACAGTAAAACCTGGTACTACAGACCACCGTGACTAGCGACCAGCCTGGTACTACAGACCACCGTGACTAGCGACCAGCCTGGTACTACAGACCACCGTGACTAGCGACCAGCCTGGTACTACAGACCACCGTGACTAGCGACCAGCCTGGTACTACAGACCACCGTGACTAGCGACCAGCCTGGTACTACAAACCACCGTGACTAGCGACCAGCCTGGTACTACAGACCACCGTGACTAGCGACCAGCCTGGTACTACAGACCACTGTGACCAGCGACCAGCCTGGTACTACAGACCGCTGTGACTAGCAACCAGCCTGGTACTACAGACCACCGTGACTAGCGACCAGCCTGGTACTACAGACCACCGTGACTAGCGACCAGCCTGGTACTAAAGACCACCGTGACTAGCGACCAGCCTGGTACTACAGACCACCGTGACTAGCGACCAGCCTGGTACTACAGACCACCGTGACTAGCGACCAGCCTGGTACTAAAGACCACCGTGACTAGCGACCAGCCTGGTGCTAAAGACCACCGTGACTAGCGACCAGCCTGGTACTGCAGACCACCGTGACTAGCGACCAGCCTGGTACTAAAGACCACCGTGACTAGCGACCAGCCTGGTACTAAAGACCACCGTGACTAGCGACCAGCCTGGTGCTAAAGGCCACCGTGACTAGCGACCAGCATGGTACTGCAGACCACCGTGACTAGCGACCAGCCTGGTACTAAAGACCACCGTGACTAGCGACCAGCCTGGTGCTAAAGACCACCGTGACTAGCGACCAGCCTGGTGCTAAAGACCACCGTGACTAGCGACCAGCCTGGTACTAAAGACCACCGTGACTAACGACCAGCCTGGTACTAAAGACCACCGTGACTAGCGACCAGCCTGGTACTAAAGACCACCGTGACTAGCGACCAGCCTGGTACTAAAGACCACCGTGACTAGCGACCAGCCTGGTACTACAGACCACTTTGCCAGGCAAGGACGGTCTCACCTTCATATATGGTTGTGCGGTGCAAACCTTTAACTAAGGACTACCTGCCAGAGACCACCCCTTGGGGCCAGAGACCGCTTGCTCTGGCCCCAAGGGGTGGTCGTTAGCTACAGGTTCCACTGTGTATTGAAATGATATGACATGAACCTGGAAAAGGGGGTGCGATATATAATCGAGTGCTACTTACAATCGGGGAAATACGGTACTGAACATAAGCACCAGCAACAGAAGCAAAGTTGAAACAATGAAACAAGCTACCGTCGCCTACCTTGCCAAGTAACTCCACAACAAATGCCCACACGTCCAACACGAATACCTCGCAGCCGGTATTCATCAGCGCGAGGAGCTGAGCGTTCAACGTCTGCACCGACAAAAACAGTGGCAGAGAGTGGGACAGAGCAAACACATAGAGTAAAGAAAGGGATGCATGCCACAAGTCAGTTCTATGCAATTTATTGCCCATCTCGCAACATAACCAACTGGTCACCGATTGGCGTTGTGTGTGAATTTGCTTCATTTGCTCCAGCAAAGCACACACGCACGCAAAACTGAGCAACTGTGCACATGCTGAGGCCTCTGATGGCAAAACACACACCGCATGGTTCACGACCACCACAAGCATAGCTCGTCCCACATATACAGCAGGTCAGTGGATGTGCACCCTGCACCTGTCACAGATAGTGTCAACTTTCCTGCACGGAGTAGTATGTTTACTACTCTTCTACAAGTACTAGTATAACAAAGCAAGAGGAGGGGGGGGGGGGGGTGCATAATCGTGCGCACAGTTGTATCAAAGAGTTGCAAAGACTGAATTCAGCAAGTAGCAACACCACCGCCCATCCATCCATCAGCAGTAGCAGCAGCAGCACACCACCATCTCGCTTACCTTCTTGAAGTCAGGAGCAAAGCGCACAAGAAAGCTGCCACCGAGCGCTTTGAGCTGTTCCTTCTTGCCAACAAGCACATCGAGGGCCTTGCTACGAACCTTGGGCGTAGAGTTAGCTAGCAATGGATACACGACATGCGACCAGTGGAGCAGCTTGCTGTCTAAAACAGCCGGGAAGTCAGTCTGCAACCTGCAAAACGCAACAAATATATAAGCCATGGACGCCACGGCGAAATAACAGAAATAATTACAATGAAGCCAGAGGACACTCTGGTGGAGGCTCGTAGCGATTCTGATGCACAAATCGATCGTCAAATTTGAGTATAGTGGTGACAGACTAATCAAACCATCTAGTAGCTGAAAAAGAAAATACCTGCTTCGTTGATATAGTGTCACTGTAACAATGCAATTGCCTCCGTGCCTGCCTTCTATAGGTCTACTAATGATTCCATTAATTTTCAATACACATTACTACTGTATGGAGCAGGATGATTGATCCTGTGGAAAAAAATTCAGTCCGGCTGATTCCCATGAGAAGGAACCATCATTTCCTGGTGTACGGCAATGTTCAAAAATATATCCTCCAAGATGAACAACCGCCATCAGCAAGATAAACACGCTTGTACACATACCTCTGTAGAGCATTCAGACCTTCCATAAGCATGACAGAAGATGGGCTTGGAGAAGCCATCAGATCATGCCAGAGATCAACGATAGTACGCACCTGTAGAAAAAAGAGCAAACAGCAAGCGCTGGTAAGGGTGAAGTTGCACTTTGGTGGTTCAAACATTTCAAACATTTCTAAGGTAGAAAGCGGGTCTCGTATATCCTCCAGTATTCTTTCCAGTATCAACATAACTGTGAAAACATAACCTTTAATGCTACTAACACAACCTGTGACTACAATAATCATGAGATCAACCCCAAAACATTTCTTGCAGTTTACTTTGTACAGTTTGCGACTTTGTGTTTCTCAGCACAACTTTCAGCTTTCTTCTAAAATATCCTCTGCCTTGGTTCTGTCCTAGATCGTATATACATTCATTGTTTCGTCACGTCATCATGGAGCAGCTTATGCGAAGGCTAGCCAAGCTTGCCTGGCGATGCCAGCGCGGAAAAGCCTATAACAATAAATAAATCCACCCCAGGAGTAGGAGAGAGAAAGAGACACACACACACGCACGCACGCGCACACACAGCTAGAACGAACAACACCAGCATGCACTACCTTGCTTTCCATGAGCACACTGTCAATCTTCTGATGTACCACACATGACATACAGATGGGATACAGAGGCTTGTCACTGCGCCGCAAAGCACCACGGCACAGCTCCACCAGCAGCTCAGCAGCATCCGCGAATGACCTTAGCAAGAGAAGTGAGGAACAAAGCAGCATCCCGTCTCATTTTCCGTGGACCAAATAACAATCGCTTCGCATGCAGTGCCACGTATAAATGCAGGGTTGCTATCCCCACGAGCAAATCCAAGGGGCTGACCAAGGTCACCAATTGCTCACTAATATCTTTTCTTGATTCAAAACAAAAAGTTTTCATTTTCAGGTGGGTGGGTCGAGAGCTCGTTTTGAAAACAATATTACTGATTACTTTTTCTTGGTCTGAACATAACTCATACATGGTCTCTTTGATGTAAATACCTCTCTAGATTCATTCATTTGTTGGGCATGGCCCATAAAGCCGTAAAACTAAAGACAAACAACAAAGAAAGTGAGTAGATATGCCATGGCATGAGGTGAGGTAGAATCTGAAGCGATAAGAGGAAGGTGAGAAATGTATCGGCTTAGGTGTGTATGCACGCAGAATAGGAGGATTCGTGGGCTGGGAGAAGGGGAAGGAGAGAAGTGGAAAGCTATGTCCGTGTGTGAATAAGTTAGTGCCACTTACAGACAGATATGTAGCAGTGCGATTCTAAACTCCGAAGCTAGCACAGAATTTAATACATTATTTTTTTTCATGAAATCACAAGTTGCAAGTTTCATTTCTTTTTTCTATATTTGTCACACAGGTGTCTTATGTCATGACTGTACACTTAATTTGCATGACATCATGCACACATTTAATACTTCCTGTATGGTGGACGTTTACGCATCTCTCTATTTTAGGGAGCTGTATATGCCTCCCGGGTCCAGTGGACGTTGCTCACTGGTGCCCTTGTGCGGACCGTACCGTGTTTACAAGATCCCTTATACGCATTTCCCTTTCATATTGCTTTTTTCCTTCTCTCCCTCTCCTTTTCCTTGTCGAAGCTCTTTCCTTTGGCAGTCTGACTGCTGGTAATACGTTTCTTGCTCCTCTAATTCTAATGACAAAGTGCAGAAATGTGTGAAAATCAATCGAGCACCCTAAAGATGTACCCAAAGTGCTGAGAGTGCGTGGATGGCCCAACGGCAGAGCATCGAACACAGAGCAACAGCGGGGCGACGACTTAGCAACAAACTACGGGCAGCCGTGCTCCACTATTGTACTGCACTAGTGTGAAATAGGGTGGTGTGGAGTTGGAGCCGTAAGCGTACGCGTCAAGCCAAGTACAAAGACATACTGTAAAGTCTTGTATAAAAGCCGCGGCTTCTATGACTTTCTTGGTGAAATTTTGCAGGCTTCTATATGAGACAGGCTTCTATACAAGACAGGTATTTCTATGTATGTCAACACTAAAACCAGGCTTATGTGTGATTTGATGGGCCCAAAATCGCGGCTTCCATTCGAGGGCGGCTTCTATTCAAGTGCGGCTTCTATACAAGACTTTACGGTCAGTTACACTTGCCGAGTACAGTACACCAAACTACGACACACAACCTCCCTACTATTGTAACACGATGTGCAACATCACGGTCTATCGCCACACAAGAGAAGCATGCAGATCTGCACATGCACTGCATGTACACCAACGGGTTTTCTCTGATAACAACGATAGTGGACAAGATGTGAGTGAAAAAGATCGAGACGCGCCAAATAACTGCCTAACCCACACAACTGATGACACACACGCACGCACACACACGCGCCACTGGTAGTTTCTTACTTTGCAATCACCGCATGACGAACCAGGTGGTTGAACACATTGCACGTTGCCAAGGCGACAACGTTAGTGCTTGCCATGATGTCATCAATCAGCAAGCTCACTAGAGTCGCTGACGGCAACGATTGCCATAGCGACACTGCACTGTTACTGTCGGAGAAACGAAGATACCTGCATTGAGAGATAGACGCAGGAAAGGAGATGATACAGTCCTTCAATGAAATGCAGTCGCATCACTTAAGCACACGCCGGGCGTCGCACAGCCGTAGACCTGCAAACACTGGGCTGTGAGATGATACAAGGCGCAAACTTGATTCACGCGACCGGATTTCATTGAGCAGCACTGCATACTAAAGTGAACACAGAATACGAGTGCCAAGACCGCATCAAGACTGGACACTGGCAGCAAAGCCAGTCAGGTGGTCCGTTTGAGATTGGGCGCCGACGGGGAATCTGTCACAGATGCTGTTGCATGCCACACCAAATACATCAGGCCCTAGACAATTTACCATCTACCCATGTAGTCAAGGTGGAGTGTACTTGTATAGAGTTTAGTGTGTTTAGACAAATGGCAGCAAGTGACAACAGATACGTATCACGAATGGCTGCACGTAATTTAACCAGTACATTGCAGAAAGTAGTTCACCTGTTCTATCTCGCGCAGTCCCATTCTAAGTTACATACGTCATCGCATGCAAATGTCTTTTCCAAGAAGGGCACTCGTGTGTTACCCGGTAGCCGTTTCTCTGCCCTGGCCCCAGGGCACAGAATACTGTACTGTAGTAAGTCCAGTGCTACAAGTATGAAACATGAAATACATGATTCAGGACACAATAATTATTGTGATTTTAAAATATTGCTTGGTGTCCACTGGTTTACAATTGCATGACTTGCTCTCCCCTGTAGATCACGCTCAGCATCAAAGTTACCTAGATAAATTTTCGTGAAATGATCACAGTTGATGCGGGTATAGTTCTTAGAATGGATTTCGGAGAGCTCAATTGTACCTGCTCGGAAGCATTGCAAAGCGCAATACTTACTCGTATATGACATTGTACACTGCAGCCCGATCCTCCTCACTGCTCGCCGACTTGAGACTGTCCGTTACTTTCCTAGCGACATCACAGTAGGACGATGAGGCCTTCCTCAAGCGAGGTGTGGTCGGGGTTCTCGCTGGTGATGGCGGCTGCATGCTGTTCGTTCGAGAACTTCCCTCAACCAGCGGCGGCCTCTGGAGGTGTCCAGGGCGCCCGATCATAGTCCTCGTTCCAGAGTTTACTCAGAACCCAACTCACTCAGTAAAATCCCTCTACAAACACTAAAAAGAGCCTACACAATTCACCAAAGGCAATATCCAAACGGACCAAAGAACGTTGCAAGCTTCAGCTTCGTGTTCAAAGGATTTCAATCAAGCAAAACGCGGGAAAGAAGAACATGGCCAAGATCGAAAAGCGCGCGGAATGTCCACGTGGTGAAACCCAGTTTGAGTCAAGTTAAATTCGGAGACGTTTTCTTCTGGCCCGTTGACTCAAAATCTTTGGAGATTCTCCTGATGCGTGCTCACGCATGGAAGTCCAAATTTTGGAAAATGTGGGGTTCATCTCCTTCTTACCGGATAAACCTATGCGTTTCCTTCAGATACACTCACTTCCGACAGCAAAAAAATGTAAATTGGTATGTAACAAATGTTTTTGACTTTGCAGTTTGCAATTAATTATTTGAAGCATGTTCAAATGTACATGACACATGCATGTTCGAGTCATTCATGACTTGAAAAGAAGAAAACGACGCATTCTTGGAAAGAAAGCCACAGTAATCAAACGTGGCAAAACGGCAACAGGCTGCGACAGTGAATGTGCAGGAAGACAGGTACATGCAGGCGGAGCTCCTTCTTGTGCTCTTGATCGTTGAACTTACTACGTCTGATCTTTCTTTGTCAGATTTTAGCTTACAGCCAAAGCACTGTCAGATCTACAAGATCGCTTTGCTCTAATAGGCTCGCTTTGCTGAGTAGGATCAGAGAACGGGATTTTCTTCATGCTCAGCGGTCCAATTATTTTCTACATTAGGATCTGAATTAGCAGTAGTAATTATGTGTGAAGGTGACGCGCCGTGCATGCTGTAGGTCGAGTCTGGAGTGACTCCGGTGATGGAACTTCGGTCGGCTTCAGGTTCAGCCTGGCTACTGCTGCTAGGAGTATGGCGCGATGGTGGCGAAGCCGGTGCCGTCACGATGCACTGCTGGCACTGAAAAGTGGCCACACAGGAGGTCTGGTGACCAGTCGTACAGTGTCACTGTCAGTGATGAGCCCAGTAGTGGATGTGCTGCCGAGACGTCATCATTATCGTCAGCTTCATGATGGTGGCAACTGCGCTGCACGTGGACATGATGTGTGTGGGAGACCGGTAGCAGGCAAGCGTGCACTGTGTCGTCGTGCCTTGCACACCATGCCTGGGAGAACGCGCCATGCCGGCGTTTCAACCAGCGCAGCAGCAGCGTCCAACCCGGCGCACGCCGTCCAGCGCAGGGCTTTCGTCATGACCGCGGCGGTGAAGTATCTGCTGACTCCATGGCTGCGCAAGCAACGCAACAAGGTTAACGTACGGCGGCTGAACGAGATCGGGGCCGAGATGCTGTGTGCCGAATGGGCTATGAGCTTTGCGCAGTTGAGACCGCAGTCGTATGATCAGATAAACCGCACATCTGACCCAGTCGACCGAGTACCCAGCGTGCTTGTGTGCGGCAGTGTCAGTTTCCATGGTATCCCCCACGTGTACTGCGACGTGAACTTCTTGCCTCGTCCCCGGCCCTTCGCCCACTACAACCCCCTGGTCGTGGAAATGGTCAACTGCTCACACATGGAGGTCACTGATGGAGGTAAACGTTAATGAATGGCTTCGTTGCGTAGTTGTGTGACACAGCTGATTACTTCAACAATGCTTTTTTTGCCGTTTATTACCCGCTTTAAAAAAAATTTCATGTCACGGGATGTTTTGGTAGAATCACACTCCGTCGCCGTGACCTCATAGGCAGTATCTGCCTTCTTACATCATTGCCACACGGGTCAACAGCTTGAGAACTCTGATGAAAAGGAACTAAAACCCCATGCTTTAAAAACCACCAAACATACCACTGCACTACCGGTCCCCATTCCTGTAAAACGTGTAATTTTCGGTGTAACTTTAATTTCAGTGATATCGGTAGAGAAACCAGGCACCTAAATTTAAATCACACCTAAAAGGCACTAGAGTATGCACTGTATGTGAAGGGAACGCTGGTCACCTAATTCTAAATTACACCTGAAACCTGGCAGGTTACTGCACCTAAAATGACATGTTTTACATTATCACTCTTTCTATCAGGATAGGTCAAGTTTGTGTATCCCGTATTCAGTCTGTGTTTTCGGGTGGTTTTTCTTGTTCGTGCTTGTCCAGGCCTGCGACACGTGGTGTTCTTGAGTCGACTGCGAGAGCTGCGTCTCTCGCACTGCCAGTTCGTCACCAACCGCGGCATGGTGCACGTGGCGGGCGTGGCGCGCACGCTGCGCCGCCTGGCCATCAACGGCTGCCGTGGCCTGAGCGAGGACTGCATAGCCAGCATCAGTCGCCTGCAGCACTTGGAGAGGCTGGACGTACGCGAGACGGCGCTCGTCGCGCACGGCGCACACCTGCGCCGCGCCCTGCCGCCTAGCTGTGAGCTCATCGTGTGACTGGTATGTGAAATAGCACAGCATGACTGATTATGACTCGTCATGTGACTCGTATGACTCTTCGAATGACTTGTATGAGTCATCACATGACTTGTATGAGTCATCACATGACTTCCTATGACTCATCACATGACTAATGCTGGGCAAATTCTACCGCCCATCATGGAGCTCAGCGTGTTATGCGCCGTGACTGATCCATGCCGCTGTATGCCATCGTTGGTGCTCTATCCGGTATTGTGGATTTGATACTCACTGTGTTACGGTGCTGGAATCCCGAGACCGTTTCCAGCCTTGAAAAGTCAGCGACTGGACTTGGCATGCGTTTCCTTATTCCCCCGTGCAGTCTGGAAGGTGCTGGCATGTGTTGTGTTGCTAATAACAGTAGCTTTACAGTAATTTGCACTGGATATCATTTGTTCTGGAGAGTGCTGGCAACTCCAGACTTACAGAGACTGCCTGTGAGGTAGGTTTTCGTCGTTCCTCACACACACACACACACACACACACACACACACACACACACACACACTACTACTACTACTACTACTACTACTACTGCTACTGCTACTACTACTATTGACAGCTGCCAGAAATGGCCACGCCGCTCCCCAAAGGGAGGAACTATCAGAGAGGTTAGGGGAGAGGTAGGCAGTGCTTCAAATGGCGCTCCAGGTCCACACACACACACACACACACACACACACACACACACACACACACACACACACACACACATACATACACACACACACACACAGCTGGTGCTACTGGAACCCTTCATGACTGGCAGCCTGTGTATGTGCTGATCTTATGGCTGCCGCATGCTTTACTGGCGTATTACGATATCTTTTTATATTAGTCAATGTTCCGGAACCAAGACCTATGCTTTGATTGCATGTTATGGTCTTTTCGATGCAAGCCAATGTGCATAAACTATAAAAACACGTACTTTCTTCACATTTCATGATCCTTTGTTAGTGCAGGCCGATGTTCACATAGACCTGTGATCCTATCACTCCTCAGCTTGTCTAGTGTGTTCCGCTTGTTCTCTCGCCTTGTGGAAGTGTTGTAGGGTACCCTGCTACTTGCCAGCCGACTTACTGGCAGGTTTCTGACTCTACTGGTGACTACGCACCCCCCCCCCCCCCCCCGCCTTGATTACCATTTCCATTTTCAAACTATTCTTTTGTCTATCGACGTGTGCCGCTGCCCAGTGCTATTACTGGTGTCCTTCCGTTGAAATATTTCAATCCGTTGCAGATTGTGTGCTCACTCCACCGTGTTCAGACGTCAAACGTACATGTCGTGTATAATGTGTGCCTGTATGTGCACGTGTATGTGTGGGTGTGCTTGCCAGCTAGTTCGATTGGTGGGTACACTTATGCCTGATTGTGTTGGGTCTGTTGCCAACAGGCTCGGCTGCTTGAAAGTGTAATGTTGTACCTGCCACCTTTGTTGGTTTCAGGGTTCATCTTTCTATTTGAAGTATACATACATGGACTGCTTCTGGCTAGATTAACTCTTGTGTAATCAATGGTGCTAGTGAAGCTTTTATCAGATCCACTCTGATTTAGCCACCCACAGTGACACTAGTAGCAACAAGAGTACATAAACATGGACTCTTGGTAGCAAGTACATGTATTACCTTCACTGGGGGCAGGGGTAACTGCAGTTGGATCCCGGGACGTACGGATACCCTGATGCCATCAATCCTTTTTCTGCAACTTATCCTCACCCACTTACTGAGCCAGAGGTGTGGTGAGCCCATAAGTAGGATCATTTTCAAGTCCACCCAGAGTTTTGGGGATTTCAGGGGGTGTCGGGGGTTGGGCGGTTCAATAGCCAATTGAGTCATCTTTCCAAGATTCCTTTTGAGTCTCTCCCGTCTCCCGGGGAGACCCACGTGACTAGTTTTGGCAGTGAGCAACAACTACAAGTGTCGAGTGTGTGTGTGTGTGTGTGTGTGGAAACAATCATTCTGTTTGGCGAGCTGCCCCCGTGCTCATCACGGCCCGAAGAAGAGGTGGTGAGATGTGACCTGGCGGACCTCGGCGTGACCACAAGGCTTGAGAGTTGCCAAGATCGTCCCGGCTGGAGACGAGTTGCACGTAGCACTCCGCCGCCACAGCCCGCTCCTGATCATCTTCTTTGTGTCTGTGGACGCCTGTTTTGTCGACCAGGAGACCTGAAACGACATGCCAAATTCTGCGCTCGTGTTCGCACTTAAACTTTCTGACATTCGCTATCATTGTGTACGCAAGGGGCAATATCAAGGCCAAGGTGTGCAGTGGCGTGTCCAGGATTTGGCTGGGGGGGGGGGGGGGGTTGCGGCCGGGATCAAGGCGGGCTGGGGTGGGGGTAGATGACATCATGCTACTGTCCCAGGTCAGCCATTTTGAAAACCGATGTCAAGAAGCTCCTCCTGTAGCCCCCCTTCTTCAACAGTTATTCACCCGAACGGCCCCAGAGACTGTTCCGGAGGATCAGCGCACCACACGGGGACAAGTGTCGAACTTGCTTCAAGTTCCCTTTCTTCGTGGGCCTGCGGGACGATCGACCATGATGTTTCGGGCAAGCATTCTCTGGAACGCTCTCCCCTCTGATTTTAGAGTGATACGTGTCCCTGGTCCCTTCCGAAAAGCTCTTTCTGCCATTGATATACTTGATATACTTACTTTGTGAATATCCTCGTTAAACTGTTATTATCTGCCATAAATTCCAACCTTCTCATCTATCACATTTGTGCATGCATGTCTATAAAATCAACCACGTGTTCCTGACTCCATGAGATTGTCTTTCTATTCTTTGACTCCATTAAATTATTGTCTTTCTATTTCTGACTCCATGAAATTGTCTTCATATAAATTTTTCCTTTTCTTCTTTTGGTCCTTTCTGTCTTATAATATTATTACAGGTCCTCCCTCGTTAGTAGATAATCTCTGGGCCATCGAAAAAGTTATCTTATAATGAGACTTATCTTGTAGCAGGACTTGCAGCTAAAGGTGAAATAGGCACTACTTCGTACTTACTGGGGCTACCCTCGATACAACATAAATTATCAATGCTTCAACTCGTTATAAGATAATTGAAAATCTTCAACATAACTCTTCCTTGGATGAAAAGCATCGTCCATATTCGCGAATACATAGATATAATTACGTTTTGTCCTTCTGCTTTATCCTACCTGTTTTGGCCTTGGTCCTGCATGGTCAGTATTATCTTATACTGAGGGTCACGTGGTACTCCAGGGACCTGGGCAAAGGGTCGTTATAACGAATTTTATGTACTAACGGATTATGTTGTAACCGGACCTGTAAACAGTTGTATAGACCACGTTTCGCCAGGGGATTTCAGATTAAATTTTCTATTTACTAACGGGGTTTATGTACTAACCGGACTCGTTATAATGAGGGAGGACCTGTATTATCATTTCTTGTTTTCCCTTGCATATCATCCCTTCATCATTCTGTGAGAACCTGTCCTATGGGCAGGTGAGAAGGCATCTCTGCCTGCTCATTTGGTGAAGTAAAATAAACAACAACAAGCCGTAAATCTCACACACCACGAGCAGTATTTCTGTACACGCAGCAACAATGTACATTGTAAACTTCAAATTTGCCGTTAGGTGAACGAATCAACTGCAATTATTTAGAAAAGCGATCCTGTCAGCTTTTCTATTATTGTGTTCACATGGCAGAAAAAACGACATCGCTATGCTACGTAAGTTTCTACGTAAGGTGCTCGGTATTTCACTTAGGCTACGTAAGTCTCTACGTAAGGTGCTCGGTATTAGATCTACCAACGCGTGGTAGCCGTGTGCTGTGCACGTGCACGGCAGACATTGTGTTCAGTGCATGCAGTCCGCGGATCCGTGTTCGGATGTGCATGCGCGAGGAACTTTACTTCCTTCTTTGGAACTGCTTCTTGCATGAACTGTTTCGGATATTTCGTCTCCTGGCCTGGCTTATTTCGTTTCGGCGCTGCTGAGACCTCCTTTCGCGGAATATTACTCAATGACAGGTGAGTTGACCAGTTGCCTTTGATTCTGCTTGTGTTGACTCTTTCATTCAGGAAAAGTGTGCTGATTTTAGGGCGGAAATTAATAATGGAAAAGTTGACAGGATCTCTTTTCTAAATTTTGCTCTTCTGCTGCCGAGCTGCGAGGCCGCCTTTTACGGAATACTCGATGACAGGTGATCTCTAAGTTGACCGGTTTCCTTCGATTCATTTGCTTATGTTCACCTTTCATTTACGGAAACGTGTGCTGATTTTATTCGGATTTAGATCCATTTTTATCTCTTTGCCCTTGTCTACAGTGTGCGAAGAACGCGAGTTCAACTTCTTGACGGTAAGGCTTATGTTAGATGTGTTGTCGAAATACTCATATTCATTGTACATTGGTACGTTACAAGTAAGGCACTGGTCAGTGGCATACTATCGTTGGCAGTTCCCAATCTGGAGGGAAAGGTTCAAGTACCAATTGACCGAGTTTGCAAAATAAATTAGCATATCAGGGGAAATCTCTATTGTGGAGAGGTTCAGTAACTTGTTTGTTTCATACGAAACAAGCCAATGGGTGCAGTCTCGTGAAAATCTCGAACTTGTATGATTGGATTTGTTTACTCAAGTCTGGGCTGTTTGATTTGTGAGTACCGCCGAGATTGCACTGCCCCAAATAAAGTTTCGTGCCGCCAAAGCAAGAATTGCGATCTGCAATCTGTTTGTAGTACCTGTAAGAATGTGGAGTACATGTATCGTACTTTCTCTGTTGCTGTTTCAGTTGCCGTCATGTTGCTAAGGGCGCGCTCACACTGCGACCAAAACCAGCGTCCATGCGGCCATGCGGCCAAGTTGCATGGCAACGGCATGAACTTGACCAAAACGTCGCGGCCACGTTTCAAATCGTGACCGCGACCTCCGGAGGGGGGTGCCACGACTTGGCGGCAACATGATCGTAGACGTGAAGCGTATTTGTGTACAACCTGGCCTGAAGTATGTTCAATTTCTCAAATTCCGGTGTGTTGATTCATGAAAATCGGCGGTTGTCGATGTCACCTCGACATTTGCACATTTTTAAAATTTTGTAGTTGTGGTCCTGCACGCACGCACCGCCATTCTTTGCCCTTTTTGGACGATGTCGATTTTGTTTTTGTTTTTGTAGTAAGTTGCTTCGTTGTGATCGGGTCAGTGACCAATTTCTACAGTGTACTCGTTCAATACGATGGCAGCTTGGTCTGGCTTTTCGGTTTCGGAAATCATCTTTTTCTACTTTTCTGCGATGATGGAATGCCATACCTCAAGACATTTCAGTTACATATCATCGGAAAATACAGTTCTCATCTCGGCAACAGACGAAAGAAACCACTACCGGAATTTCCACTGCACTGGCACTTGCTCTGACCACGAGGTCAGGAAAGCGAAAGCGCTTGGATGTCAGCGGCATGGCAGTCCCTCAAGAGTCCCGAAACCTACCTGATTGTATGAATTATTTTCGTCGACTTCAAGAATACGAGCCACGAGGCATTTCCTCCAACATGCGCATATGCAACACGTGAAAAATTACATCCAAAACGGGCCACAACTTTATTAGGAAACGCACGAACTCTTTTGGATACGAACTGCAATTCGTAAAGTTTGTGTGACAACTTCACGTCTACGCGTCTACGAGGCCTAGTGTGAGCACGACTCCCACGTTTCTGCGTTTTTCTGACGCATGGACGCGTGCTCATGGTCGCAGTGTGAGCGCGCCCTTAAGAAAGGTTCAGTAGAGAGGTTCTGCAAAACGAAAATTCGAACGAAGTTTCGCGACAGTCCTTGCGAAAGTGTCTGCGAATTTTTGCACGAACTTTGCGTTCTGCACATTTTCGTAGTTTGCGCGGGCCAAGTGCACGTACGCCATGACCCGATCTCACGAAACTTCCTACGACAGTTCATTTCGCGTTCCCTGCAAGTTTCGCACTTCATGATGTAGAGCGAAAGTTTGTACGCATTTCGTTTTGCAGAATCTCTCTAGTGACTCAATTGTTTCATACGAGACGAGTCAATGAGTCGGTGTGGCTAAGAATCTTTCGCTGTAGAAGAAATCTATTCGTATGTCTATTGGAGATATATTTGTGTTCTCTGGTTATAAAATAGGTTAAGCTCACAGAATAAATACCATCGTTCCCTTGGTGTTCGTCCTAAAGAGGTCCTAAAGAGGACTAGATATCATTCATACTCACCAAAAGATGTGTAAGACTTTATTATTGTGGAGTGCCTTGTTTATCTCTCAGTACCTCCAAC